TATATATATATATATATATATATATATATATGTATGTATGTATGTATATATATGCTTTTCTCTGCAGACCCTTTTCTTTATGTTCCAGTTATGTAGTGACCGCTATAACTGACTGCTTGATGATGACAGGCAAACAAAGACATGTATATGCATACGTGTGTGGGTACTTTCTCGGTGCTGTTGCGATTCTGTTAAGGTGGAGGAGAAACAGTTATCATCAGTGACTTGCAAAAGGAACTACCCTTCAAGACGGATTCAGCGGGGAGGTGAGAGGGGGAGGGATTGTGTATACACTGCACAAGCGGCACAATCAGAAACAGTAACTGCAAACGTGGAGCGATAATGGAGAACGAAGAGGACGGACACTGCATGCACACAAGGAGAATAAAGAAGTAATTGCTTCAATCAAGCCAAACGCAGCGCAAGGCCTGTTTGTCTTGTGAACGCAGGTTTGTTGCCGACCCGCAGTGTGTGGTGTACAACTGCAAGGCAGAAATAGGCAACGCGCTGCTCTTTTATCACACCCAGGCAAGGACAGTGGAATATTTCCCTGCGGGATCTCCTCCTGCTCTTTTTGTCACTCTTGTTGTTTGCGAGACACTAGTGTGTGGATTGACCTCTGTGTTGCAGATGCATGAAGGACGGCCAGTTGGCCAAGGGAGTGTCAAGTACATAATAAGGACAGACATCATGTACAGGCGGAAGGTGAAGCCTACGCATTGCTCTTGCCAGCGTGAACGAAGAAGATATGTTTCTTCCTGACCCGAGACGCAGGAAGCCTAAGCATTGCTGTCTTCATCTGTTTGTGTATTTGTTTTTCCCCAGTGTGTTTGTCTTCCTATTTGATTATTTCGTTCAAAGGCACAGTGCTAATACGGGTGTCGGTGTATAGCAGGCTGGTGGGCTTTAGTCATTCGTTCTTGGGCTTTTACGTGTTTGACTGGATCTACGTTTTCAGGAGCCTCTGTTCACAAGCCCTGCAGACAAGAAGGCCTTCGCATTGTGGCAGGAGGCGCAGCTGCTTGCGGAAAAGGGGGAGACGGACTCAGCAGCGCAGCTTTTTAGACAGATGACTAAGGTTTCACCAGAGCTGGCTCACTACTACGGGATGTGACAAAGCGTAGGACCATAAGAACAGTACATAAGGGTCTCGGAAGAAGCGGAGCGCCCCTAGCAAGCGGCGTACAACCTAAACTGGCTGTCCCGCCTTACTATGTGCTCAGATTCAGCGCCTCCGCAAACTCTTCCGGTCCGCTGATTTTTCCTCCAAAACTTGGCCCCACACATCGCTGTCCGTTCATCCGTTGCCTCGCCAGTGTGTAACAAACGCAGGCCAGAAATGTGTGTAGCTATACCTCGTCCGCAGCACACCACGGCAGCGCCTGCGCAGAAGCAGTTGACGCGGGGAAGTGAAGGACGAGACACGAAAGAACCTCCATGGTGTATGGAGCAGCCAAACAGATATACCAGCAGACGAGCAAACGCGTCATCGTTAAGTGTCACTGCGATGTCTTCGTGCGTTCCGGTGAAGGCGTTAAGGCAATACTGCCAATCTATCTACTGTTATCTTTGCGGAGGGCAGTCAAGTGTGCTAACAGACTGCTAAGCACGTACAAATGCCGCATACCTCCCAAGTGTAACGACTATGATTTAAGACTTCTTCCTAGGAAGAATAAACTCCCCTGAGAAAGAAGAAACTTAACAAAGCCCCTCATGAAAACTTAACTACGACCCTCACGAGAAGTGTATGTGACTCTCGTCGGCTGCGAGACAGCTAACCTGCGTGCAGAGTGCTCTTACCTTTGTCACTCCGCAGACGAACGCTGCCCATTGAGACTCTACTGGTGCTAGAAGCTAATAGACACACTGACAGACCATCATCTACGGTGCATGCTGTTGCACGGTGTAGCTTTGTGCTTACGGCGAAAATCCTTTGCATACTTAGACAGTATGGACCTGCCTGTATTTTGCCCTAATAGCTGTGCAATACAAAGCTCTATGCATGCCTTGGGTAGCGTGTATGCTCCGAACGGACGGGGCTACGTATATGCCATACGCTGACGCAATGGCGATAACATTAAAATGCAATGATGATAACGTTAAAAGAGACGGGAAACGAACGATTCGGGCACGGTTCACACTGTTTTTAAAACAATGATCACGCGGGCGTTGACTGACGCCTTTATACAATGTGCACATACACCGGCAGTTGAAACGCGTCTGCCTATTGATAAAAAAAGTAACCGGGTCCAACTGAAGAAACTACACCACTCCGCAAGCTGCCCGAACAAGCAACTGGTCTGAAGGGCGACCCCGCTGCATCCCCCGTGTACCGGCAAGGAGACGTAAAGGAAATAAAAAGCTACAGAGAGCGCAAAGGGTTCACGACCAACCACAAGCTTGGGCATATAAATTGGAGGATGCAGTCCACAACACAGGCAAGCAACTTAAGGATACGCAAACGAAAATGTAAACGCATAAAATCCCGCTTCCCGCCGGCCCCTGGACGTGAATAAGCAAGCAATGTAGTGCATTCAACGCGTGACGTGAATAAGCAAGCAATGTAGTGCACTCAACGCGTGATGCGAGGCCTTCGCAACCTGCATCCGGCACAACGTTGGCCGTTAACAGCAAGTGTGGCTTCGCACCACAGCAGCCCCTCCAGTAGCCACCAGAACTCGGACGGATCGTGATGAGACCCTCGTCAGAGGATGTTCAACATGGTCCAGCGTCACTGCTCCAAAACGGTGGTCCAAGTGATACTTCTGCAACTATAACTGCATAGCCAAGCGATGGCAGTCAATCCAGAAGCGTAAATTCCCTGAGGCTGACTGCATTTCCCTTTCGGGCAAGAGAATAGTCAATGAACAAGTGGGGCGAACGCGCCATAGTGAAATGCAACTGCAGTGCAGTGCGGATCATTCTGCTCTTCTAGATGCTTCGCGCTGAACGGCAATCACCGCACATCCCGATAAATCCCCTTCAACTTGCTGGCCCTTATAAAAACTGCAGCATTTCCAGTCGCCGCAGATGTCAAACGGATTGAGCTCGCCAGCCAGCTTTTGCCTCCTTTATTCAAATCGTCCTCCCACGCTGCTGCTGGACTTCACTGTTCACCGCTTCTGTGCAAACCAGACGGAGAAGGCACATACCAAAACGAAAAACCAGTAAGCACGTCTGTCCAAATATTGTCGGTCCTGCTTGTCGTTGCACTCTTCGTTAGTTTATGGCTTCACGTGTTGTGTCCTATGGATTTTCAACGTTTGCTGGTGTTGTAGAAGGTGTAAATGCTAGCAAACGTGATGTGGTGCGAAGCATACAGGATCAAGCCGCTAGAAACATCAACAAGTCCTATAGTATCTCCTACCTTCTTGTCTTCCCGTCTCTGACTTCGATCCCCGTGCGCTCCGGAACTTCCTTCGGCGCCCTTCGGCGACTTACCCTTCTTCCAACCCTAGAAGAGCAACATAATCAGCACGGCAGGTGCTTCTGTGTGCGATGACTCACAGCAGATACACGAGGCGCAAAGCGGCGCAACAGTGCAACTGCTAATAAGGCAAACCGATTGTTGCGGTATGTCGTCACGTACGCTACCTAGGCCCTTCAAAGTAGTCATTAGGCGTCCAAGTCCGCTGGCCTGCTCCAAAACACCATTTCACAGTAGGCCCACAGCCCTCAAAGATTCGCACGTGAGGTATCGGGCGATTGCAAACTAAAGATCGCATTCCTACAGGTTTGGATGTGGACAAGACGTACAGATGAAGGCAAAGGTACAGATGAAGTCAAAGGAGGATCCGAATTTCTAGCGGTCGATGGCTGCGGCCCGGAGGTGTAAACACCCTCGCTGCGTGTGCGGCGCCTGCCTGTTTGCACCGAAGGAACCTGAAGGAACGGCATAGAGAGAACAGGTCTCTATTGGGCTGTACCAGCTCGCGCTTGGCTTGAGCCGTATGCAGCGCTTTTCCTATTAAGGTTTCAAACGGCTGTGCATAAAGCCAGAATAGTATACGCTCGCTTGAGGCTCCATGCAAAGAGCAGTAACCAATAAACTACGATAGGGGAACCTCGCCTCCGCAACCCTCAAACAGCTCTTGGGGAAATGTGTGCGTAACAGGCTACCGAATGTGCTCGGCGTCTATGATGCGACAACTATTTCGCGGCTCCACAGATAATGTGCGTATTCATATACGCGAAGAACCCTCAAGCTCATGATGCACTTACGGTTAGCCATTGCGGCGTTCCTCCGAACCTGGGAAGAGACTGCGCCTGCGCAGCCAGCAACAAGAAAAACTACCGCAACATCATAGTGTGCAACTTGATGGACACTATGTCACACAAATATTAGAGTCTAGGATATACCCCCGTGCTTCCGATCGACAAAAGGTTCACGATGACCGGGTGAATTACAGCAGACACTTTATCGAGACGAGGCGGATGTATTTTCATGGATATGTCGTGAACACTGTTCATCCAGAACGCATGGTGGTGCTGCACCAGTCTGGTGCTGCACCAAACCTGTCAATCTCCTCGAAAGCGAGAAGAGGTCGCTGCGAGACCAAACTCCTCCAACGCCCCACAAAGTCTCACCTGTCTTCCACCCCCCGCAGCAGACGATACTCCACCTTCCCCCTAAGGCAAAGACCATTGCACGAACACGGATATGAACAACAATACTGAACATAGCGAAGTGCAAAAGTGTTCCCCACTGCTAGCTCTCAGGGTAATGCCTTTACTGCATTGCTAGCTCTCAGGGTAATGCCTTTACTGCATCTCTTCAGAATCTTATCCAGACCAGCATGCCAATAGCGAGGCCACGAATGCGAACACTTACGTCGTCCCAGATACTGCTTCCAGGTGGAGAGAGATTCCGTGGGCTGGATCGAGCAGAGCCAGGTTGTGTAATAGGAGACTTCAGCACAACGCATCAAGCACTCATTAGCGTGCGACACTCAAACAGTGGAGGGTGCAGTGGAAGCCAAATGCTTCTGCACAAAATGGAAAAGGGCGCTGGTGAAAGCTGTGTATGCAGCTACCGAGCATGACTCGCAAGCTTCATGTGCAGCGCGTACTCCTATGCCGTGGGGAGACGGAGGGGCCTGCAGAAGAACCGCCACCCAGTTGCAAATATGATACTGAGGCTCGACAGCAATATCGATCTCACGTTTTACGCTTCAGTGTGCTCTTTGTCTATGAGCTATTGACAATATGCAACACCTCTTGACAAGGCTATGGTCGACAAGAAACGGCAAAGGAGAACGGAAAAATCCTCACATCGCCAACACTTCTGCTCCTTTGCTTCACGCTCCCGAAGATACCCAGAGGTGGAAGGTCCGGCGGTAACGGAAACGGTGGAGGAGGAAGCTCCCTATCCTGCACTCCTGCCTGCATCCCAACGCAGGTGTCAACACAGCTCGGAACCGTGCCACTCCCCACGTCAGCCCTATGGGCGGGCTGCGCCTGCCTCCATAGATAGCGTCTGACAGGGGGCAGACACTGAAACCACTGACTAAAAAACAAGTTCAGTACATCTGAAGCAATCCTACGGGATCTGCTGAGAAAACTTTACAAACGAGCAGGAGGGAAAGGGGGGAAAAGCCTCACCTTTGTAGTAGCTCCACTGCCCCAACCAACACTTTCATACTGGTAGGGACCGGCCCCACTTGCGCCCTGGGGAAGGGCTACTCCTCCACCGCCTTGGCCTGTCGCCTGTATCCCAGCAGAAATGGTTCATGAAGACAAATATATACGCCTCCTCAACTGGCTTGTGTGGAGTCTCAAGGGCTCCAAACAGGCGAGCTAATGAACGGTGCATCGACTGTTAATACGGAAGTATTTCGGATACAACTGAAACAGGTAAGCAAAACTGCACCGCTCGATGAACTGCACCCTGCTGCAGCGCTTGCCGAGGGGAGGAAGCCCTACGGCTTCCACGAGCGCCCCGACAGCAAGTCGAGCCCTTACCACTGCCACCGCCTCCCAACCATATAGCAGAAGAGGAAACGGACACAACAAATAAAAGGAAAACACTGTACTTACGCGTAGCGCACACACTGCGATTACGCCTTAGCAATGCACTCACTTCACGCCGTTTACCCCGCAAACGGCACTAAGAAAGCGGCAGACAGAGCGAACTGCAGAAGGCCAGATCCCGGCAGTTGCTGCAAAAATGTAAGTCTGAAAACAGCTTACATGCGCTCCACTGGGGTGCGGCGGCGTTATAATTACAGACGGAGTTCCCCACATATGGCTGGTGCCCGACGTGGGCGAAGGCAGTCTGCTGCCCGCAGGGGCTCTCCCCTGCATCATAAAAGATAAAGACGACGATGAATTGCACTGCGTCGTTCAAGTTCAAGAATACACATTGCGACAGCAAATGTTCCCCTACAACCTTCAACGTGCCCTCCGTACCACTACCGTACCACTACACCCAGCACATTATATACACTTCATCCACAACTAGCCCGCAGGCCGTCCTTAAAGTGAGCATCACTTGCTACGATCCCTGATTTGCAGTGAGCAACGAACACCTGCATGCTGCGTATACAAACCCCCTTCGAGAAAGGAAAAGCGCCGAGGAATCCAAAGGACACAAATAAACACCGCAACGCCAACCCGTCAAGTCTGTTTTGTCCTTAGCGTTGAATTCGGGTACAAAATGCACCATAACCAGATGCTCGGCTGTCTATGCAGACGCAGTTTCACGACCAAAGGGATGCTTCAGTTTTCTAAGACGGATGAAAAAAAAAACAAACAGCGCTCACCTGCGCGGCACTGCCCCCTGTAAAAACGAGCCCTCTCTCTAGGAATTGCCGGTGTTGTTCACGCCGTGAATCAGGCGAACCGAAGAGAACATCTGCTTCATAGTCTTCCTGAAACAGCAGGGAACAGCCAAGTTTGCGGCAAAATGGCAGTCCAGACCGCTACAAACACCGCTGAACGGCCCTGTCCCAAAGGCGCACAACAGCTGCCGGTCGCTGGTCTCCTACCGCCACAGGCATGGAGTGTCGGCACGCCGACAAAATCAACGACCGCTGCTCACAGATTGCCGCTTTTCAACGGCAGTAACGTGCAAAACGTTCATAGCTCATTGGATCTACTCTGAACTGACAATTCGCAGCATTACCATAATGGAAGCGGCTTCGCTGATATGCATGTACTCGTCTACTGGGCTAGCTGGCCGCCTCCCCATAGCCGCATCAATTTCTCTGTAGTCCATGTAGACGCTTTCCTCTTCAGTTGGTATCCGGCGACCTCCCTTTGACAAGGCGCGCAGGTTGAGTTGCACGCAAACGCACGCACAACAGAATGAACCGGGATGTTGTACACTACACCAAGCACAGTTCCAAGGGAGCATGCCAGGGCAAACCTGCAACTGCAGATTATGCAACTCGTCAGTATTCAACGAAAACCCCGATGCTCGTGCCTCCCACGCCCCAAACCCCAAATCTCAAACCCTATGTTCTAAATCAAAGACCTGAAGCCATAAATCACAAGACCGGCGGTAATGTGTAGGAGCAAAATGAACAAATAGATGATCACCTCTTCATCACCGCCACTTCCCCGAGACGCCCCCGAGCTCGTCGAACTTCCTGAATCTCCTCGAGCCTTCACAACCGCACAGAGGGACCAAACTCTAGATGGAATTGGGACGGTGCATGCAATATGCAGCACGCAGGATGAATGGAAAGCAGTAGCAATAAGGGCTCCCACTAGCAGCCACCGAGCACAGCAATAAGGGCACCCACTAGAGGCCACCCAGCATCGTGCATTCTAGGCCTCAGCCCTATGCCCCCAAGGCGGCAACAGCAACAGCAGCACCGGTCCTGCCGTTTATCTCAAACAGAAGTCTTTCACCCGCCGTCGCCACTGAGGATCCCCGGAAGCAGCAGCAGCAACAGCAGCAGGTGCAAAAGCATCCGCACCCACAGCAATGATTAAATAAACAGTCAATCTGCAACCAAGAGAAGGTGAAACGGTCCACTAAAGCACCAGCAAGCCCTTACTTGAAACCCTCTGCGCAACCATCGGGCAGCATGCCCGAAACCTTTCCGGGAGGAAACTGAAGGCTGCAGCAAACGCATAGACAGCATCTAACGGATGCTAGAATGAGAAGAACTGGAGAGAGACAAGTGCCCCTCCCCCGCGTGGGAGTCTTCTCATCATCTATCTGCTCTGTTCCCGGCCTCCGTTCCCGCGGCCCTCATCCTCTGGTTCCGTCGCGCTGTGTGCAGCGCGTAGGAAGAGTAGATGAGAGTACAAGTTGTTGTCTATGGCTGCTGCTCCGTTTCATGAGCCGTTAAGTGCAGAACTCAAGCCACGCTCATCTGGGATAATGAGACAACAAAAGCCGCACTAACACCGCGGCCTCTCGGCGCTGTTCGTGAACTCACTGGAGAAGATGCAATCATCTGCCCCATCGACGCTGCGATATCCTTCGTCTCCATAATCGTCCCCTCAGGTTCTTCACTCTGCGCGAAGCGAACAGGACAATGCGTCCCCAAAATATCTGCTGAGCCTGTCCTAGCACCGTATATGCATATATACACATATACGCACGTACATGCGATCGCTTACCACGTTACCTAGCACCGTATATGCATATATACACATATACGCACGTACATGCGATCGCTTACCACGTTATCACAGATACGCTTAAACATGGTTACAAATGTATATATATATATATATATATATATATANTATATATATATATATATATATATATATACATATATATATATATATAATGTACACGCGACGTCTACGTGTGCCCGTGCCGTTTTTAGGTATACAACTAGGTCTACCACTTCTACATCTGCCGTTACGACGGAAGTTACAGCAAAGGAGACAAAATGTTACAGCGCCGGGAACCGCAAACAGCATCACGCTAGAGTCGATGCAGTGGCTGCAGCGGTTGTAATACCAGAGACGAAGGAAAGCCGGCGAAGAGGGGCCAAGTGTTTCACAACAAACAACGCGCGAACGCTGCACGTACACTTTGCTATCTCCTTACCGGCCAAAAATCGCTGGCAGTCATCATCGCTTCCACCGTCGTCGGCCGCCGCTGCCATGGATCGCCTGTCACTGCAGACTCCAAATTGTCTGTTGTCGTAAGCTGCAGAACCAAACAACGCAAATCCTCTAGAACCTCGTCTTAGCTGCCAAATAGTTCTGTACGAACACTAAATGCACATATGCTGTAGGGAGTCGCCAATGCATCTCATGCATACATGCAAGCATCTGTATATATGCATATAATTCCATATAAACAGCTACACTGCAGTATGCCACAAGCAGCACAAAGGCATGCGCGAAGAAGTCTGAGCAAGCAGAATGAAGCAGATGAGGCAGTAGCAGTCCATTCAAGCCGTCTTCTACATCGTTCGCCCCCAACAGAAGCCAGCAACCAGGCAAACGAAAGTGCAAAAGGGCGAATGCGCGAAGGCGGAAGGCGGCAAGACGAAGGCACAGGACAAAGAAAACAAAAACAATGACGTGAGATGACAGAGAAAAAACTGACTGACAGTGTCACGTGGAGAAGAAGGACTGGATGGGATGGGACTCATTTCCATGTATATCGGTTCTTCCACATCTTCTCCCTGAACATGAGGTACCCCGCAAGGTAGCAAATGCTAAAACCCTAAATGCCAAGCCCTAAGCAAAAGCGCGATGGTGTAGAAAGCGTGATGAATGGGGAAGCAGAAGAAGACACACTCTCCCTAAAGAAATGCCCCCCAGATCATCCAGCGTGCGCATAGGGTGCACGCCGCAAGAAAACCTGTAGTGTAGGATATCACTGCTTCTGCGTATACTGTTGAGGGTGGTCAATATATGTAGGAGGAGGATCGCTCCATCACAGAACGTACAGAAGTCGGGCTCGGTATGCTACGCATTTCCATGTATATGCCGTCTCCATCGTCATCCTCTTCAGTCTGTCGTCCTTCCTCATCTTCCGCTGTCTGTACGCAGCACCGGAGAACGGGATCACGTCCGTCTGTCATCCAGGCAGCCGCTAGCAACGCTGAAACATAACCCCCAAAACCTAATCCCGAACCTAATCCCAAACCCGAATGCCTTCTTGCGAAGACGCCAGACGCACGGCAGACGCAAGCTCGGGCAGCTCCTCCGTTCCCTGCCCCCATACTCCTTGCTGCCCCGCTTCCTGCTCCCCCACTCCTTGCTCTCCGTCTTGCTCTCCCGCCTCCACAGGAGGCGATGTCGGAGAGGGAGACCGTTCCCCTTCTCCTGCGTGATCCCCTGTATCTCCTGCATCCTGCGGCAAACGAGATACAACAACCCGACAGCAAACAGAACAATAACCCAGTGTGACCAACACCCGATCCACCGCCAAATGCGCGTTCCCCGCTTCCGCTGGTGCCTACATCCTGAATCTTAGTCTAAAGTTTAGGACACTTCAGGGTTTCTTCTAACTACAGGGACATAACTAAAAAAGGTACATGGAGAAAATATGGGTGAACTAGGTTGAAGACGGAAAGGGCCGCGGCGCCCCCGCGCCGTTGTCGGCACTGCCCTGTCCGTTGTCCTACTAATGCGGCTAGACGCATCCACAGCGGCGTATGCATGCGGGAGCGCCCATATATATATATATATATATATATATATATATATGCACATACATACGCCGACAAATATATAAAGACATTCACATAAGATTTGGCACATCAGCGCCGCAGTGTAATTGATCCACTGTGGTCAATATATGTAGAAGAACGAGGAACGTTTCATGACAGGACGTACATCATAAGCTGGGCCGGTCGCGCTCGGCGTCTCCTCGTCCTCACTGTCTCCGCCTTCATCATCATCACCCGGTCCTCTTTCCCCCCCTTCCGTTGTCTGTGTGCAATAACGCAAAATGAAACTTCTGAAACTGGGGGTACGTCGATGTTCTCCAAGCAGACAGCACTGCCTCGGGCGAGATTGCACAATAAACCCAAACCCCCAAACCCTAATCTAAGACCTAATCCCAAACACTAAAGCCCCTCTGCTACTAAGACGTTAGACGCACGGGAGGTGCAGGCGCTGCCAGCTGCTCCGCTCCCTGCTCCGTAACGTCTTGCCCCCCCGCTGTTTGCTCCAGCTCCTCCACAGGAGGAGGCGGCACCAGAGGGGGAGGCCCTTCCCCTTCTCCTGCGGGATCTCCTGTAGCTCCTCTCTCCTGCTGCAAACAAAATACAACCCAACAACAAAATCCTCTTACCAATGCACGGCCCCTCGCCACTAGTGCTTGCAGATTGAAACCCAGACCAGTGTCCGCTGTTTAGGAGTCTTCAGGGGTTCTTGTGAAGAGGGCAGAATGATTAAAAAGACTGGATGAAGAGGGTAACAGAGACCGGACAGCCGAAGCCCCACCACCCTCGGACATTCCCCGTGTCAAGTCGATGCACTTCGGGATTGTCCGGTCTCATCTTATTATAAATGCAAGCTGCACACTTGCTGGTATTGCCATGTCTGTTGTTTTACTGTCGCTGCTAGGTACGCCACGGACGACTGCTCAACTACTGCTGAGTATCCGTCTACAAGAGGAGGATGGCATCCCCCTCGTCACTCGTTAGAGTATTACTGCTTACCGGAGAGCAAATATCTCCCCGGCCATCTGCAAGCAGACGAGCAGCTTTCGGGGAAGAGGAAAGACGACCAAATGCGAGAGAGCACGACACGATCACATACGCAACAGCAGAGCACGCGAGGGCTGCTGCAGCAGCAGTGAACAAGAACCCAAGAGGAGTCCTCCCGCTGCGCTTCAAGCGCACGAAATCGGGTGCTACAGATTCGCTATGCTTGTCATTTTGTCTGCTGTTTGGTTGCTTGCTGTTGGCCTCCGGGTCGTCCTCCGCAACGTGGTGGGGAGCCGCGTACTCGGGCGTCCCCATCGCCTGAACTGCAGAACGTTCAGCGGGCTAAAACTCCGCTAGTTGTGCTTAAAAAGGAAAAAACTAGGCAAGCTCACAAACGCTCACGATAAGAGCGTGAAGCACGGCGCCGCAGCAGCGGAACTCGAACTTCAAGGCGCCATGCGCAAGCCTAGCGAGAAAAAATAATTGTATTGCGCGTACTGCATCTAAAAGGATTAATAAGAGCAAACAAATTGCAAACACGTTAGTTTCTGCATTCACTTCGTCTCCAGAGTCATTCGTTCCCGTTCCTATACATCTCAGCTCAGCTATGCCGTAACGGATCGTCGCTCACAGCAGTGGGCCTACCTGCACCGGTGCACAAGGTGTCGTTGCAACCGGGCTATGTTTTTTCCCTCTGTCTCAAATTGTTTTAAATTTCATATTATTTACGCTCTGACGTACTCAACATATACGGAGACAGTTCGCCTCCGCCCCCTCTTGCGCAGTTTTGTCGTGCTGTATTCACCATCTGCAACTTTCATCGCTTTAAGCGTAACAGTTGATGCTTCAGCCGTTGCAGTCTGTGTTCTATAGTTGTCTGCCAACATACCTGCAGCTTATTTTTGAATTGTTTTTAAAGACAAGAGGAATCACGGCTTGTCAAGCATGAGACGCACGGCCTGGGCTTCATCTCGAGTAGGTTTCGTTTGACGGGGGGACGACAGTTGCAGATTAGCCGCAACTAAGATCCGCTTCAGTTCCTTACTTCTCAAGGGGTACTATGAATTGCCCACTCTCCTAGTGAGGGCGTTATTCAGTGTCCATTGGTTCGGTTCTCCTGTCGCTGTGCTCCACTGCATGCAGTTTCCTGGCCGGCCTTCTGTATTATACCCATCGTATAGCTAGTAAAAGCTTCGGGTTGCTTAATTCAAGAGCCCCGGAATCATCAGAAGAGATGAGATTGGCGGTTATATGCTTATTGACCCAGTACCCGCCTGCTTCTCGCCTTGAAATGGGTGGAGGCGCAGGTATAATGCCTAATTCCGTTTTTAGGGTGTCTTCCACTCTTCTCCTTGACAAAAGTTGGTTTTAATTCCTCGCAAAAAGTGAAGGTGTATATGCCTAGGAGCCTCCCCCTTACAATATATTCAGCTCTTCTTCAAGTGGGACATTGAAAATCTATCGTGAGACGGAATCAGCCTACAGCTGTGTTTGATCATAGCCGCGTTGGCTTATATTTAATTTGTACAGCATCTAAGTAGAGTAGCCTATATCTCATGTATGTAAAATATAGTAAGAAGGTGTGGCTGTGCGTAAATACACATGCTGCTGAGCGAATCTTCCACCGTATCCAATGACCGTTGTCGAATCATCCGCCTTATACAGTGACCGTTTTCAGCTGTAACAGTGAAAATACGCAAGCTAAGATATCCTTAAAATCTGCTTTAGCCTTCCCTCAAGTCTGCTGGATACCTGAAAGCAGCGCCACAATAGCATGGATTCATGCTGCGGATAGAAGGCTGCCAGTCATGAATTGCAACACTGCTTGCAACAAGAAACGCTACAAACCCACATGCAACCATATCCAAGCTGTATTTGGACGCAGGCACTTACGTTGCAGACAACTGTCTTGACCTTCAGTAGCCATCTTGGGTGAAGGCAGATCTGCAGTTAGCACCTTCAGATATACCAGGAAACATATACGTACGTTCGAAGGCGTTTCGCTGGTGCAGAGTGGTGGACCATACGGCAGGGCGGAAGCAAAACTGTGGGGGCAGAGCGCTTATGATTGTTGTTGCGTTTGAGTTACTTTGGGGTGCAGGGCCAGCTGAGCCGTTGTCGCAATACATTATCGTATTACCCCGTATTACATAGGTGGCTTCGTAAAAACGCATAGTTATGTGCTTTAGAAAGCCAACAGAGGAGCGATTTAGGGGCTACAGAGAGTCGCCTAGGTTTTCTCGCATTGTTTTTGTGCGTTGCATCGCCTTTCGTTTAAATTTGAGATTACTCTTTTCCTTTCGTTCAGTTACTTGTCGACTTTCTTTACTGGGCCTCCGTTCTCATGTGCGCTGGTGGTCGCATGCCCCCTCGTTCTCAACTGACGTCACAGTGACGAGCGGCAGTAAAGACTTAATAAAGGACACCTCGAAATCCAGGAGGCATTCTCTTCAGTTCAGATGCGCCCTGAGCACATCGGGCCGAGGGTCTGGAGTGGCTGCAGAGGGGAGGCGGCCTGTAGTAAGCTGCCACGCATCTCGCTGGCTGGGACTAATGCCGCAAGGCAACCTCACGGCCAAGCGCACCTAAGTCCCCATGTGTTGCATGCGCTAACAGTATTACAGTGTAAAGGCTAGTTAAACACGTACTTGCCCCTCCAAGCCTGCGCGCAAGTAGATAGGAGCACCAACATTTTGGGGACGGTCATGCCGTATCGGGGCCTTGCGTGCTGTGCAGGGGACTAGAGGCCACCTAAGGTGAAGGCAAGGCGGTTTACTTGCAAAATACTCTGCATTTGTCTCTTTTTGTAGAGAATATGCGTCCAGGAAAGTTGTCCTCTGCTTCAACCGCCAGCCATCTGTATCTGTGACTGCAGTTGTGCCCCAATGGCAAAGTCGTATTTATGTCTGAGGGCATACATGTGGAGGCATCGCCAAACGACGTCAATTTAGTGCATTTTAAACTTAATTTAAGTTTAGTTTAATGCCTACTAGGGAGAATTGTTTGAATGGGTGGTTAGGGCCACACAGCCACCAGAAGAAGCCAGACAGGTGGCGACTCTATGCTCTATGACCTCAGCACGTGCACGCGGGTTCGGACGCAGCTTCCTCCGCATAGCGGAGGAAAAGAAGTACGCGAATTTTGAATTCAATTTTAAACAAATAATGAGATAAATGGTATCAGCCTCTCTTTTCCTACATATGCAGGCTAGCAGACCGCGGCGTGGCGTAGGCACTCCTAACTCCCTAAGGAATTAGGAATGCCTACGCCATGATCTGCCACTTTGAGTTGTCTGTACAGCTTAAATCGAAGCTTTCACGGCGATCACGATGGAAATTCACTCCAACTTCCCAATTATCAAAGTATTAGACAAGGACTATTGCTACCGCCGCTGCTACTCCCGCTGACTGCGCAGCACGGTGGACCACCGGTCAACTAGCCTTTCCGGCTTCTCCATTGCCACGTCATTCTGCTCTAGATGATGCAGATTCTTTGTTTTAAATGTTGAGAAGATGAAAAGTTGTTTTAATAGAACAAGATTCAACCCTACATGGGCTGCTGCTCTTCTCCTGTCGGCTGCGACTTTCGCAGGCGCCTTCCGGGCGCCTGTAGGCGCCTGGCGGGCGCAGCAGCAGCAGCAGCAGCAGAATTGGGATGATGAGACCGCCATAGGTGTATACCCAGAATATGAGAGTGAGAGGAGTTCAAATGGGTTGAACTTTGCCTCTGCCCTGCAGACCTCGTCCGCTACTGAGAAGTACGCAGAAGACGGGCCTTCAGAAGGTTCTGCAACAGAAACTGCTGCCTCACAGGGGGAAAAGGGGAAGAGCACAGAGACTGAGAGCAGCAGCACCGAGGCAGAAAACACTGAAGAAGAAAAACCCGAAGAATCTGCTCATCAAGGAGAGGGCAGCAGCAAGACAGAGGAAGCATCTGCCAAGGAGTCTCGCGCTTCTGCTACAGCGCCGTCCCATGCAGCGGGAGAAACAGAGACAGCGAAAGGAACCACTTCAGAAGAAGAGAAGGAAGAAGGCCATCATCCCGGTGCTGCTGTGTCGGGGAAGGAGTCAGCAGCAGAGTCTGCTGCTGCACCCGGAGCAACCACTGCAGCAGAGAGTGCAAAAGCAGCGGAAACCGCAGCGCAACCTGTTCACGAACACAAGGCAGCAGCTGCACCAGTAGAAGAGACTGCTGCAGAAGCTGCCCCTGCAGGCAGGGCTCCTGAAGCCGCTACACCTAAGCCAGAGTATAAGGAAGAAGCTACGGCTGCAGCAGGGGGGGCCCCCGCTGCTGCTCCTGCTGCTGCTGCTGCTGCGCCACCGGCAGACAAGCTTGTGATACAAATGAACTTCAGGCCTTCTTTGGTGATAGGCCGGGCAGAAGCAGACAGGACAGAGCGGCACGTCGTAAAAGACAATGCGGGGACATCTTGGTTTGAAGTTATTGGCCCCAAAACCCTCACTGTACTTAACCTGAAACCCGTGCAGGGAGAAGAACTCCTTCATTCAGTAGTGGCTACCACATCGCACGCTTGAGCAAATACAGCTGCATGCGTATTTACATGCACTAATTTAAACAGTATATATATATATATATATATATATATATATATATATATATATATATATATATATATATATATATACATATATATATATATATTTATATATATATATATTTCAATTATGTATCAATGTGCGTGCGTTTATGTATGTATATTGACATATACATAGGTATATGGCACATATATGAATTCTTTAATACATACTTCTCGAGAGGCGTTTCGAATTCCCGCGAACACTCCAGTGAGGAGTCTGGCGTGCGCTTGAATTTTGGAATAGACCTCTTTCAACCCAGGTGTACAGGCACCTCGGCGCCTTGAGGTGTGCGTACACCTGAGAAGTAACAGTTTGCAATTGCAGGTGTCCACTGCACGGCTTCTCTTTGCCGCTTGGCTACTGCCAAAGTTCTTTTTCCCACACAAAAACAAATAAAAGCCAAAATAATAGTTTAAATTTCTATTTCCGTTCGGCTGCTACTTGAGGACGATTGCTGTTGCCTATAGCTGCTAATCGAGGTAGCAGCAACTAGAGCAACAGCAGTAAAACACAAGCGACAACGGCGCGAAGTCGCATGCAGGTGCATCAGCGCTGCCTTCAGCAGCAGAGTAGAAAAGATATTTCCCCCCTTCCCCCCCCCCCTTTGTTTAGGGCTGTNCCCCCCCCCCCTTTGTTTAGGGCTGTAGAAGCCTCTAAAAGCAATAGCTCTGTAACCTGTATAGGTCGAGTGCAGAAGTAGACAGGATCTAAACGCATGTGCATGCAGGTTTCCAACTGCACGCCCGCTTGAGAGTGGAAAGAGAAGCCAGCGGGCCAAGAGGAATTGAAAGAGGCGCTACCTTAAGGGTTGTAGATACAACGCGGTGGAAGCAGATGAAGACGTACAACATAGGCAACGCAAACCAAAAAATACATTGACATAGAGGAAAAGAAGTCCGCAGTCTAAGCTCCAAAACCCTGCCCCATAGGACTTGAGAGGCGAACGTATCTCTGTCTTTGTTTGCGTTGCGTGTTTGTCTTCGTTGGCCTCTGTCTTTGTCTTGCGCCCACCTCTATCTTTTTGTTTTTCTGCATGTATGTGTGGGGGGGGTCTGCCTCTGTGTCTTTGCTGGCAATTTCCCTCTCCTCAACGCGTGTCTGTCTTTGTGATTGCCTCTTCCTCCCCTTTTTTCATTCACATATCTGCGGTGTTGTTCATGTGCGCCTCCTCCGCCTCCCACTTGCGCCGGTTTATCGCCTGTGCATACACCGCAAACGACAACACGCGACAGCAAAGCAAACTTATCAGCCGTAAAAAGACTCAGAGCAAGGCAAGAAAACCAACGTACCGCCCCAATGCGGTCCGAAGGAGGAATCGCCTTGGGACCAGCCCAGCTAACTATCTAGCTGGCTAGCTACCTAAGGATTGGCTGTCCCGCTATATTGGAGCCTAGCCTGAGGCACCACCGGGGTAAAATCGACTGCGCTGAGTGCGCTTTGCCTTCTAATTTTCTTGTCTCTACTTCCCTCTCTACGCAGCTAGGTACCTATCCACCCGGCCAGCTAGCTGGATGGTTAGCTAGACATGTGGCGCTACTCTTGCATACCTTCAAGCGCTCCTCCTCGAACCCGTTGCCGCGAACAACTCCATCCCAGCGGTACCCCGGCTTAATCCCAAAGCGGTTGGGCGGGGCATCGTGGGGACACGTGGGTCGTTCTGCATGCGCAACACAACGCACCAGGTTGACAGAGTAACCAGCTAGCTGGCTGGTTGGCAACAAAGCAACGTAGCCAGCTTGCTCCACCTAGCTCCACAGCTAGCCCAACCAGCCAGACACTTGCTGAGGCTAGCTATCCAAATACATAGCTATTTAGCTAGCTAATGCTGCAAGCGAGCCGCTTCGCGAGCCCGCCGGCAAGATAGGCGAATGGCTAGCTAGATACCTAACTAGCCAAGCAGGCGTAGCCAGCCAGCAACACCACAGCGCGGGGGTTGGAATGCCCTCCCCCCCCCCNCCCCCCCCCCACGGGTCATGAAACTAAAAAGCAAGGCTGAAACCCGGAGGAAGATCTCTCGATGACTTATTTGCTTCAGGTGTTTTGTGTGGGACAGCACTAAACTGCAACGCTTTCGCTCTTATAGCGAGAAGTAAAAGACAGAGCTTCAGGGCAGCAGCACTCAAGGGCAGCCGCTATGGCCACGGTATGATGAGTTGTATAGGGAGGCTTGCCTGTTTTGCTGCTGTCTTGGGTATCGCTGTTTTGCTCTTCTTGTCGGTCTTTTCGGGAAGTGGGGGCCCTGGCCAAGGGGTCATCCCACCGGTCTCGGGCTCGCAGCTCCGTTTCATATTCCTCATCAATGTCATATCTAAAGCAGTAGAGAAGCAAAACATAGCAACGCCAGATAGAGATAAGCCTCCAACCTGCTTTGATTGAAACAGTAAAACTAACAGAGGAACTACCATGCATATAAGGGAACGCTAAAGGTTGCATGCGGCAGACGATGCGGGTCCTTCGGTGTTGTATATGCTGTCCCGTTGGTTTGCCTGTTGTTCTTATTATCTTCTTACCATATTCTGCAACGCGCACAATATGCACTGTATGTGTATCTACTTGGATGGACCCACATTATGTATCACATATAAAGTATACAAAATATCTACTCTGTATATCTAAGTATTTGGATATGTATTACTTACTATATGCTACACTCTAATATATCTATTGAATATTACGATATATATGCATATAATATATAATATATAATATATATATATATATATATGTCTTATATAATGCAATACGTATATTATGTGTATCTCCCGCACCTGGCAAACGGTTGTTTAGCTATTTTTTCTTCTCGTCTTTGTTTTGCAATTTTGTCTTCTTTCTGCTTCAACCCCGCGCCCCACTCTAACACCTGCAATCGAGTTGCAATACAACAGGGAGCAAAGCAGTGTTGAACAAACAGACGAACCACAACAATAACACAAGCCTGCAGCTTAGGGAAGACAGCGACAATGTAGATACACTTTGGGAGACCTACCGGCGCCGGCCCTCTTTCCCTTTGTCTTTTTCTCCCCTTAGCCCCCTGTAAAACAGAAACAATACATACATTTTGCGAGACCTACAGAAAATATAGAGAACCGCAGTCGGCTGCATCAATGATAAACGCATGCAAACCCTAAATACTGAACCCTAAACCACGAGCCCTAAACCCTAGAGCACCTCGAGAGCAAGCCACTCCTCTTCAGATATGATTCGTCCCTCTCTGTCACGAAAGACAATTCGGCTCTTAGGAGGCCCACCGTCCTCTTGCGATCTGAAAGACAACACATGCCACACAAGTTTTGAACCCTAAACCCTAAACCAACTTATCCCTAGTCCTTGTGCCTGGGGGCACATAAGAACTCCTTGGATGGGTACGTAGACAAAGGGTCTGGCCCTTGGGACACCGAGAGGCCACTGCACCTCGGTTTCGGGTTTTGGGTTTGCGTGCGTTCAGCATAGCAGCGGAAAAGAGGAAGCGACGCTTCAAGCAAAGCTGCTGAGAGACCTACCCTGCCTTGCTGCTTGGGCTTCGCCGCATAGGAGAGATGTCCCTGTCTCCTTCAGAGGTTGCCTCCCTTTCTGAGCGTCCCTCACGAGACGCGTTCTTCTGAGGTGGTATATTCCTTTCGCTGTCCCTGGGGGCTTCTGCTGGTCGACTGGTTACAGGGGAGGGCCGGCGCCTCCTGGGGGGGGAAATGTCTCTGTCTGCGTCTGGTCTTCTTCTCGGGGGGGAGAGATCTTTGTCTCTGTCTGTGTCTGCTCCTCTTCTAGGGGGAGAGATGCCTCTTCCTCTGTCTGCTCTTCTTGGGGGGGAAAGGTCTCCGTCCCTGTCCATGTCTGCTCTTCTTCTGGGGGGGGAGAGGTCTCTGGCTCCATCTGTATCTGCTCGTCTTCTTGGAGGGGATAGGTCCCCCGATCTATCTGTAGCAGATCGCCTTCTTGGGGGGGAGAGGTCTCTGCTTGCTGGGTCCAGCTGCCCACTAAGTTCCAGCTGTTGTTTCAATCTTGCGCGCTCATCATACGGACTCGGAGCAGACAAATGAGAGGACCCACCCACGCACACAGGCCCCTCTAAAGCGAAGGCCTCCTTCCAGCTGCTGTTTTCAGGAGAGGGGGGTTCGGATACCGCCTCAGGGGCCCTCTCAGGGGACCCCTCAGGGGCCCTTCCTCTGGCATGCCGAGGGTCCCTTAAGCCGCTGAGATGGTCAGTCGGAAGCCCCCGGGGTTTCACGGGATAGTCTTCGTCTTCTCTCTCCTCTCTAGCGATAAGTTCATTGACTTTGGCTTTGTCTGCTTCGCTGAGCTCTAGGATCTGTCCGTCCTCCCCTACGACCCGCACCTCCTCTTGATCAGATGCTAACAGGTCTTCATCGTACACGCCATCCTCATTTGCGTCTTTGAATAAATACCTCGCGCCGTTCTCTGCTCGACGCAACACCGTAAACAGCGTCTTCCTCCCGCGAGTCCCAGGGGCCCCCCGGGGGCCCCCTCGCCGCGATCTGGGGTGAAAGTCCAACTCTGCATCCTCTCCCAGACGCAGCCCCCCTTGGGCACCAGTGGGGGGTCCCTGGGGCTTGCGGGGGCCCCTGAGGTACTTCTTGAGGTAGTCAGCTTTGCTGGCCATGGGAGAGGGATATGTGCATGCGAGCGAGGGAGGGTGAAGATCGTTTGGACCCGTTAACCATTCATGGAGTTGTTTTTGTTTACCTCTTTCTAGATAAAAGATGTTTACGTTTTCATTCCGTCAGACAGAAATCAGCCGGAGCCGACGACAGCAAAATGCATGCAGTGGAAACGGAGGGAGCGGCGAGCTGTGGCGTTTTATCTTCCGGCTTTCTCGGCCTGTTCTTTAGGTGAACACACTGAATGCTTTGTTTTATAGGAGCGAGGTGTTTGTTGTTTGCTTCATTATTAGCCTTCATGACAATGTGTTAGTGAACGCACACGCTTCCACGAGTGCATACACCACGACCACATGATCGGACCGCAGACACCACGCCGCATGCCTGTTCTTCTTCTGGGGTGTATATCCAAATCTCACGTTCTTTTTGTTGGGTCCATGTAATTGTTGCGTGTCTCGTCAAGGCACAATAGAAGGCCCCGATCTTTCCGTCAATAAGGCGGTTCGTTGGGTCCACCCTGGTCTATCTATCTCCTTCTCAGCGGTCTTCTTCCCCTTTCCCTTCGTTTGTTTCTTTCTGCTTCCACCTATCCACAGCTTACTTACATTGAACAGCACCAGATGGGGGGGCCCGCCTTCCCCGGCCGTCTCCGGGCCCCGCGTAGCCCGCCCCCAGACCACACCTCAGAAAGGCGCAGCTACAGCGTGTTTGAAATCGACAGCAGCAGCAGCAGCAACAGCAGCAGTGGATTTGAAGAGGCGGGGACAGATTGGAGGGGGGATGAAGATGCGTTGTCTAGCGACTTGTCTCCTCCGTCCCGTCGTAGTTTCTTGATGCATTTGATTCGTTTGAAGGCGCTGTGGATGCGTTGGATCGATGATTTTCTCTCTTCTGTCTGCCGTGTATCTCGGTCTCTGCATGCCGTGAGCAGCAAAAGATACCCTCGGCACCTCCGCGGTGTCCCCCTCAAGATGGGAGGCGCTGCTTTTCTTCTTGTGCTGCTGGCAGCGCGTCTTTGGCGGCTGCGCGGGACATATCGAAAGTCGTCAGGGGTTGCCTTGGGAGCCGGAGGTGGATCTGCCAGTGGGCCATCTAAGGCTACACGGGAACATGGGGGCGTCGGCTCGTCGTTGGGGCGGGCGCTGTTCTTCTGGAGGAGTTTTGGTTGGAAAACACCGGCTGCTGCTGCAGCTGAGCCCTTCTCCCGGGTGCTCGAGCTCGTGGGAGGGAACGCTGTCAAGGAAGTGCACTTCGGTCCGGGGCCACGTCTGCTTCTGGAGCTGAAGGACAGGAGACGCGTTGTTTCATCTCTTGTTCCGGGGGCGGAAACCGCGTTTTTTCACGCTGTCTCCACCAGAGTCCCGCGCTTCAAAGCGGTGCAAGGGGGTTGGCTTCCTGCTGCTATTTCCTTTGCTGCGCCTCTGCTGCTGATGGGCGTTTGGTTCCGTCTGCTGCGGGGGCTGCTGCTGCAGCTGCAGCCGCAAACTCGCGACACCGGGACGGAGCGAGAAGCAGCAGGGGCCCCTCCTCAGACGCGCTTTCACGACATTGTATTTCGGCAGAAGGAAGAGTTGCAGGAGATCGTGTGGCTGCTGAACGGCCAGCAGGATCTGTACAGCGAGATGGGTGCGCGTTTGCCTCGTGGGGTGCTGCTGGTTGGCCCTGCAGGAACAGGAAAGACCTTGTTAGCACGGGCGGTTGCGGGGGAAACGCGCGCTGCTTTTCTTTCTGCTGCTGCTTCGGAGTTCACTGACGTCTTCGTGGGCCAAGGCGCTCGTCGCGTGCGGGAGTTGTTTCGAGAAGCACGGCAGCGAGCGCCTTGCGTTGTGTTCATAGACGAGCTCGATGCCTTGGGCTCGCGCAGTGGCTCGCCATCTCTCCCTGAAGGAGCTCAAGCTGCAAACCAAGAGTACGTCCAGACTATTAACCAGCTGCTGGCAGAGATAGACGGCGTGATGGGCGCAGCAGCGGGAGTTGTTGTTATCGCTGCTACAAACCGCCTCGAGGCCATCGATCCTGCGCTGCTGCGCTCGGGGCGTTTCGACCGCCTTATTCACCTAAGGCTCCCAGATGAGGGAGAACGCCTCGAGATTCTTCAGCTTCACGCGGGCCTCAAGAAGATAAGGCTCAGCAGCGCAGCGCAAGGGCACCTCAAGAACCTTGCTGCTGCAGCGGACGGCCTCAGTGGCGCGGACCTCGAAAACCTCCTCAATGAAAGCGTCTTCAAGGCCGTACGCAAAGGGAAAACCCACGTCGATGAAGATGCCCTTAATGAAGCCCTTCTCACTCTCTTGCAGCGGACACATCCCCCTCGACCTCCTACCGAACGCCTGGTACTTAACAGCATTTTTAGCCCCTCATTTTAGCCCTTCCTCTCCAGTTCTGCCCCTGACCCCTCCTTTTATCTCTCCTCAACTCCCCTGCTTAACCCCTGCTTCTGACCCTTTTCGTTAACCGCACTCTAACCGCTGCATTAATCTCTCCTCATATGCTCTCTATGTAACCCTTCACTTTAACGCTTCTTGTTCACCCATCCTTGTAACGCTCTCTATCCCGTGACACCCAGAAATATAAGTCCGACAGCACCAACAGCTACATTAACACATATCAGCCTACCGAGCTGGCGATCCAGCAAGCTACCTCTGGTGAGGGCTACCCAGCCGAATATTCAGCAGGATTACTTGCTTACTAGATAGCGTGAGTCACCTAGCCACCTGCTGGCCAGCTAGCTAGTTTCAGCCTATCCAATTAACTAGCTAGTTGACTATCTAGGCGCATGATAGAAGCGAAATAGAGCCCCGGAGAACACTCAGGGCGATGCAACATGGGATCCGGACAGTAGATGAACAACTTCGAAAGCCGGAGCAGTCAGTAATACATGCACAACACCGGAGTGCTGTCGACACCAGGAAGCGTCCCTCTAGCTGCCTTAGGGTTTATCAGGCAAACTCTTTCGGTGGACCCTTTACGGCACGAGAAGGCGAGGCCACAGGCATATGCAAGTACCTGCTGTGTACATGCGAAGAATGAAGGCCATATAAAGGCATTTATATACCTAGGCGTTTACTATAGACAGGAGAAATTTGGTGGGATTCAGGGATGGAAAGTGCCAGTACATATGTAGAGGCACTTATATTTGAGGAATACCGGCATTCCATGACGCATGCGGTCCAGCAGAAACAACTATGGACATGTTGACGCCCCTCCCAACGTGAGGAATTAAGACGCTACACACGGGCACGCAAATTCCGAATGCTGCGGAGAGTACAACGGTGTTTGGAGGCGACGCATGGAGCAGGGCCTCTAAGCATCTCTTGGTGCTCGAGCGATGCTACTGGGCCAACGCAGGGAAGCCTTGCTGGCTGGCTTGGGCATTCGTAAAGACCCATTGAGAGCAACTGCGCCTCAACACGGTCTTTCACTGCTGTACCAACAACAACCAAAAAGAACAACTCTAGTGGCTGGCTGGGCAGCAAAGAAAAGGATTAAACTGCGGTCCTTAATATAGCATGACCAGCCAGAAGTTCGTGCGCGTATTCTGTGTGCGCGCAGATAGGCTTCTGAGGGTTAAGTAATAGTTTTCACAACTCAGGCCCCTTTGCAGCATGCGCTAACACTCAGAGAATTTTCAGTGACAACTTATTAGGTTGCCGTGCAGTCCTAGCTGCAACACGGTGCACTGCAGTTCACGAGAGACAGTCTCGTCCCTGGCTCTGGCCAGTGCCCCGCTCTTGAATCAGTGCATACAGGACGCCTCGATACTGCAGCCTTAATTGAGCAGATTTTGCGAGATATTGTCCCAAGCCTTTTTTTATACTGCACCTGGCGACCGTCCGCAGCTAAAATCGATGAGCCTTGCTACACTGGAAAGCATCGTATGGTTCATCCGGGGATGCACATTTCGAGCTGCAGCGACAGTTTACTCACGAAGTCTTAGTGCAAACAAATTGGAATGGCTGGTAATATGCATAAAAAGCCTGTTTGTACTCAACCGCACTCTGCAGGAGCACTTACAACGCCTGTGCCGTGCTCTGCAACTTTTTCATTTGGAAGTGATCTGTCAAGGCGTTCAAGTGCTCGCTTTTCACGCAAGCAATTAGTTACGGAGGGAGCGCAGCCATATCTCGCGCAGGTAGTGGCCGCTTGATGGCGGCCACTCCCCTTGCAAATTCGTATGGATGTTGAGAGTTTCTTCGGTCTCCCATTAACTTCAGCGGCTGCGACTGACGGCGTGGGTAAACACAGCCCGGCTTAAATTTAGGTAGCGTTCAACTTTTCAGTTGCAGTTGCCCAAAGCAGAAGAACTCGTAGATAGAAAGCTATGAGCGAATCGTTACGCGGCACTGAGCAATTTGCCCCGTGTTATGTGCCCCTGACCTTACCTATAACTCGCGGGCACCGGCAATACTTTAGGGGTTACCATATTCTGGAGATGGTCATGCCCTATTGGGGCTTGCCAGACTGCTCCCAACTTGGGCTGTGATAGTGCGTGTTTCGCGCCGGCTCATTGAGTATTTTGTACATTCGCAAGCATGCACCAGCAGCATCCCAGTCGCGTTCAACCCATTCCAACGGCACAGAGTACTGTCAACATCCACTGCCCACACCACTGAAAGGGCTTGCAGCAAGGAGCTGTAGGTCGGCAGTGGCAGCAACGAACCGAAAAAACGCCTCCCACTGCCGTTAGACACCTTTTGCAAGTATACCCAAGCCTCCCGTTGATGCAGGCGCTAACACCGTAGACAATCGTTAATCATTCTCTTGATCCTCGGCATCCAATGTGGGAGCCGGCAAAAGTACATGGAATACTATTTTAAGTATGCCCACGATACAGAGAGCGCACCAAGAGGGCAAGGAGGAGACTATACTGAAGGGATGCGTCGCAGGCGATCCCTTCGCTAAACAGCACGTTGCATTATGCAGAAAAGACATATTTGCTGATAACTCAACGAAGAAGCAGAACAATAGTTACAAGACTTCCCTGAAATCCGTGCACTGGCGGCGGCGTACTGCGCGTCTAGCGCAGTGTACAGACCGCTGTGTACACCCACGCAAACTAATTTATCGACGCCGATCAGAGCTGAAAGGCCGATCCTTTAGTCCATCTATGTCAAAATTTCATGGGCTTTTCATAAGTTACTAATAAGAATAGCATTAACCTCCAGTTTCTCTCATCTTCGCCAGTGCAGTGCACCGGCGGCGGCGCGGCCTGCGATCGCATGCATTCACCTTTCGGGCTTTTCCCTGGGCGGCTCGGTCCACTTTTTTTTTCTTCGTCGTGGTCGTACTTTTTAATCTTTTTTTGTTAAAAATATTAGAAGAGTGCCCTCTCATATATTTTAAGTTCTGAGTAAGTGGGCGAGAAGGGGCAGACGGCTCGAGACGAATTACGCAACTCGAAGTTGAGGAGACGGCTCGGCGACTCGCAGATCCTCTGATTCCAATTTCAACGTTTTCTTGCAAAAAAACCTTCTCGGACTTGCAACAGGTGGTGGATAGTCTCATCTTTCGGCCAAATAACTCTAGTAGGGGCGTCCTGAGGGCTTGGCGACTGCAGCAGCAGACACAGCAGCATCAGCAACAGTGCGTGTTGTTGGGTTTGCTGCTAGCTGTAGCTCTTTAAACGATGCAGACGGGTGCGCTCTTCTTCACTCTTCTGCCTGCAGATTACTCCTTCAGGCGTTTCCCCACGGGCCAGTTGGTCTACAGGGACCTGTCCCTCCTGCAGTGGTAGGAAGCTGCCTCATCAGAATGCAATAATGCAGCGAAGAAGAACACGATGAACTAACAACAAACCAAACACGACAGATGATCATCTCGCATGGAGGGGCAAAGACGGGGGAATCGCTTTGAGGGCCAGGGGCCGAGACCCCCAAGGAATCTGCCGCCTCCCTTCGGCTACCAACGCGCCACACCAGCAGCAGAAGTAGCAGCAACCATCTCAGCAGTAGGAGCATGTCAAGATGAGCAGTTCCTTTTCGATTGAGATATCTCGTGACGACGTTCCCCGGAGCGGGGCGTCCGGCAGCAGCAGGAGCAGCAACAGGAGGAGCAGCAGGAGCCGCTTTCGCAGCAGCAGCAACAGCAGCATAGGGCACGACTTTGATGTTACTCCTTCTGAGCATTCTTTCTCGGCGCCCTATCGCGCTTCTCGCAGCAGCGGTTCAAAACCTTTTTTGTGGGGGGGCAGAGCTGCAAGCTCTGCGTCTTCCCGTGGTAGGGGCGCAGCTGCGAGCGGCCTTTTCGGCGCCCCCGTATCAGCTAACCACAGCGTAGATGAATCTGCCAGCTCTGTAGGGCCTCCCTCCCAAGCGCAGCGGCTGCAGCAGCAGCAAAAGCAACTGCTGCTGCAGTCTGATGAAGGAGCCTATGCGGACTCTTCAGGGCTGGATGGCAGGGTCCCGGCCACCACGGGTGTCTTTGGAGGTGCGTCTCCTACTACATCATACCCACAGCAGCAGCAGCAGGAGTCTGAGCAAGATGAGGCGGGTGGTTGGCGCTCGATGTCTCTGGCTGCAGCAACGGGTGAGGGTTCCCTGGGCCGTTTTGCTGCAGCGCGTAGCACCACTGGCAGCCGCCGTTTGCGTAACGGTGCATGCAGCAGCAGCAACGTGCTGGGGTTGACTCCCTTCAGAGGAGGAGCAGCAGCGCAGGAGGGCAGCGAAAGGCGTCCTCGAGGCAGCGTTGCTCTGCAGGACGGGGGAGAGACCGGCGCCGCACTGAGGGCGGTCTCAGTGGGTGAGGAGGTTGTGCTGGAGGAGACGAGAACCAGACTCTGGCTGGCACGGGGTTCGGTATTGTGGCGTTTCTTCTTGTGTGCGTTAGCGCTGCGGATCGGCTGTTCGTTGGGTTTGCTGCTGGTGGTATTGACAACATTAGGTCGAATGGGCCGTGCTGTCTCGTGCATCGACATGAGTGCATGCGTGGGAGGGGGCGGCTTACTTGCCTTCCCTGTGTTGCTGCGAGCTGTTCCGGGATTTGCTATGGGATTGGTAGCGTACGAGTCGATTACCGGGCTGCTGGTAGCTGGGCTGGTACTGGTGCTGGTGCCTATGGTGGGTAACTGCTATTACACCTGTCAGGCTCTGCTCAAAGGCACACGCAAGGCGTTTCTAGAAGAAGTCCGAGTGACCACCTGCTGCACTGCATGGGTGGGGGCCTGCGTTGGCGTCTTTATTCCTGTATTGTTCTTTACGCAGCAGTTCTGTGACAGAGACCGCCTTGACATCAACGCTGTTCACAGGGAAGACAACTCGGCTGTGGGAGCCGCAGCAGCCAACATGTGCAAACAAGTCGGGCTCTCCCGTGCATGCGTCGTCATGGCGGGGTTATGTGCGTGCAGCACGGCGTTGTTGGTGTTTCAGCGCTACACGAGGCTGTGGGCGGCGCTGCTCGCTGTGGGTGCTGTGAAGTTCATGTTCGCCGGCTTTCTGCTCTGCCTCACAATCATGTTGGGCGGCCAGAGCAACCAAATGATGCTGGAGACAATGGACAAATCACTGCATTCAGACGGCCTACAGCAGTCCATGGTGGCGCAATTGGGCCTCTTCTTTGCTGCGTTGAAGTGGGGCGGTTACATCTTAGCAGCGAGCAACTTAGCCACGGGAGCATTCACTGTCTGGTTGTCTTATTTGCGTTCCCACGTGCTATCATTTACGAACATGTTGGTCAACTTCGTCTTTTTCTTCACCAACGCCGTCTCGTTCTTCGCCATGACCTTTGAAAACGCCACGCTGCAGGTGGCCTGTAACTATGAGGCCTTCCCGATGCCGCAGACAGACAGAGCGCTGGCTGAAGCCGCTCTCTTCTGCGTCTTCCGCCCGCAGTTCAGCTTCGTGTGGGCGCTTGTCGCCCTGTTGTCTTTTGCGCATTTCATAGAGTTCTTCCTCTGTGCTGCCCTCTTCCATAAAGAACTAAGGAGGGGGCAGCAACCCTACAGCCAAGACAACTTTCACCACGCGCTACGTGCTGCCCCCAGTATTGACTCTTTGCCTCCCAAATGGGGAGTGGGGACGGAGAGACATTAAACAAAAACCCTAAAGCTATTTTCGTGTGTGTGCCCGAACGAACTAAACTGTAGGAATATACAAGTGCTAACAAACAGACCTAGTCAATCAATAGTTCAATTCCGAAACAACCCTATGGAAGCTGTTCTCACTACTGCTACTTTAAATCCATCAACGCATCTAGTCTTGCCCAATATTGCGGTATTTCTGTTCATTTAGCTGTATCTGCATGCATGAACGCATGCCAAGCAACAGCGAATTGCTGGGACTTGCTCCCCCGCAGACAAACGGTCGCCCTGTCGCCTTGCCGTGCAAGCACCAGGGCCGTCGTACGCGTACTCGGGGGGCCACCACACTTTCAAGAGCAAAGGCGGCTGCAGTAGGTGCACTAGGACCGAGGAAACATTGACCTCAGCCACACACAGGGGGGTGTAGCTCAGTCGCTATCCTCAAATGTAGTTTTCTTCCCTTGGAACTCCTGTACATTTCCCGCGTTTGCAGCCTTAGCAGAAGACGCGCCACCTCCTCGGCCTCCGCGGAACCCTCCGCGGCCACCACCTGAGGCAAATTCAGTAGCAACAGCAACAGATGTGCAAATAGACTACTGGCACACCCCAGAAAGATACACAGCTGTGCTGCTGCATGCCTTCACGTATGCACGAATATGCGGTTGTATTTTCTAGTAGGCAACACTGCATGGTGCCATTTTTCTCCGTGCAACTTCACTGCATGGAAGCACTGCTTGTTATAGGTGATGGCAAAGGCAAGAAGCAGCTTACCGCGTCCCCCGCCACGGCCTCCTGCAGCTCCACCTCTGCCTCCTCTTCCTCCTCTTCCTCCTCTGTCTCCGCCTGCGCCTCGAGGCAGCGCATAGGCCACCCAAATGGTGCGGCCGTCAAGCTCCGTGTTGTTGAACTCGAGCGCTTTTGTCGCTGAGTCAACAGAGTCGAATTCTAGGAATGCCTGACCACGCGGCTTCCCGCTGTCTTCAAATACGGGAATTCGCACAGCGCGGATCTCTCCTGAGTTCAGATTCGCAAACAAGCGATAAGAAAACAAGGAGCGGTTCGGTTCGCGTTATGAACTCTTTCCCTATGACAAAATATATGTGGAACTACCGGGCACCAAACAACAAACCAAAGATGTACTGAAATATATCACTGCTACACATGTAATGCACAACATGTGAATGCAGGTACTCCCAATTGAGAATACACACAATCTACTTCTATATAACTGTGTTGTGTGATATATGTACCGCATTCTCCGAAGGTTTCCCTGATGGTATCCTCCGTCGTATCGAAGCTCAGGTTGCGCAATACGATTTGGTTGGAGGGGTCCGCCTTCGGGCGATCATCTCTGGGGGCTCCATTCTTTCCTTCGTGTTTGCGATCGCCTTGCTGCTGCTGCTGCCTATCTGCTGAGAGATTAATGCGCAGCGTGCGGCCCTCGTACTCTGTCTGGTTGAATTCCACCGCCTTTGCTGCTGCCTCCTCAGATGCGAAGGTGATAAAGGCGATGCCCTTCCCCTCCAGGATCTTGATGCGCGTCGTCGGGCCGCAGTCTGCCTCAAACAGATCTTTCAGCTGCTCCTGAAAAGAGGAAAACACCACAAATACAGAAACAAAGATAAGTCTAATACAGTCATGCAACGCTCGGCTGCGTCTACGACAACAACACATTAGTTCACAATGTCTTTTTCGAGCCTCCTATCCCGCAGCGACACCAGACAAAATCCGCTGCGGGTCAAACGGGCGTCTTCCATTCTCGCAGGTCAAATGGAGGGATAACGAAATCCGCTGCCGCTGCTGGAGCAGCTGCAACATGGCGCCTCCCGCTGGAGCCTGCGCGGCAGCGCTAGAGTGCATATACACTGCAGCCCTGTGCGACATGAATACGAATTGCCTACCTCTGTGACGGAGTAGGGAAGGCCGCCACAGAAGATCTCGGAGCGCATGCGAGCAGCAGCGGATTGATCTGTGAGTTGTAGCTTCTTCTTGGGGCCTTGCTGTTGGCCGTTCTGCGCCTGCGTCTGCTTCCTTTTCTTCGAGCCTCCGTCAACCTCCATGCCGGCATCTGCCGCCTTGCCCTTCTTCTGAGCTACTGGCTTCTTCGGAGGCTCCTCCTCCTCGTCCGAGTCCGATTCATCTGAAGACGAATCTTGAGCCACTGCAGCGGCTTTGCCCTTGGCCGCCGGTGCTGCTTTCTTGGGAGGAGGCGCACTGTCCTCTTCGTCGGAAGAGGAGTCATCTGAGTCGGAATCCTGCGCTGGTGCTGGTGCCTTCTTCTGAGCTGGAGCTGCTTTAGCTTTAGGGGCGGGTTTCTTCGCTGGAGGTGCGGCCTCCTCCTCCGAGGAGTCGTCGTCGGAATCCGAATCCTCTTGCACTGGCTGTTTCTTTGGGGCTGGCGCAGCTGCCTTGCCCTTGGTTGCTGCGACTGCTGGTTTCTTTGCTGGGGGCGCTTCGTCCTCAGAAGAAGAGTCGTCTGAGTCTTCAGACATCGCTGCCGCAGCTGCTTTCTTCTGTGCAGCAGCAGCTGCCTTAGGCGCCGGCTTCTTTGTTGCAGGCACGGCTTCCTCCTCCGATGAGGAATAATCGCTGTCGGAGTCCTGAGCTGCTGGTGCTTTCTTAGCTGCAGCTGTCACTGCAGCCTTGCCCTTGGGGGCTGCTGCTGGTGCCTTCTTGGGAGGAGGTGCATCATCTTCAGAAGAAGAGTCGTCCGAGTCAGAGTCCTGAGCTGCAGCTGCTGCTTTCTTCTGTGCTGCAGATGCCGCCTTGGCCTTTGGTGCGGGCTTCTTTGCGGGAGGCGCAGCTTCCTCCTCGGATGAAGAGTCATCAGAATCAGAGGATGCTACCGCCTTTTTCTGAGCTGCTGCGTTTGCTTTGGCTGAGACCGCTGCCTTCTTAGGTGGAGGCGGGGCATCGTCTTCAGAAGAAGAATCGTCCGAGTCGGAGTCATTTGACACAGGTGCCTTCTTTTGAGGTGCTGCTGCTGGCTTTCCCTTTACTGGCGCTGGTGCTTTCTTCGGTGGAGGCCTCTCCTCCTCGGAAGAATCTGAGTCTGAGGACTGCGGAGGCACTGGCTTCTTCTGCGTTGCTGCTGCGGTCACCTTTGCTTTCTGCGCAGGCTTCGTCGCTGGGGGCTCATCCTCAGAAGAGTCGTCGGAGTCTGAGTCTTGGGCGGCGGCCTTCTGCAGAGCTGCAGCTTTCGCAGCGGCTTGGCCTTTCTTCGGGGCAGCTGCACAAACAAAGCGGAAGAATAACCTGCATTTTCCGCTTGCACACGATCGAGCTCCACCCGTAAACACCCCATACAACTGATATTCGGAAGAAACAAAAACATGAAAAAACAGAAAAACAAATACAGCGCGCGAATGGAGAAATTGTTGCCATCCGCACGCTTGGCTTTTCCCGAAATCAGAGATCTTGGTGGAAAAATATCAAACCCTTTTGGGTCAACAGTAGCAAAAATGCTGTCATCAGCTAGGGAAAAGCCCGGCAAGAACGCAGTCACAAATTACATAAAGCAAAAATCTACAGAAAATGCATCATATATCCGACAAATCACGAAGGAAACCAAAACCGCAGCTCTGTGCTGCATGTGCATACACCCCAAGCTTATTACCGTGCAGCTTACGCATTTCATCATCGGAACTTGAATCGGATGAATCCTGCGCGGTCGACTGCGCCTTTGCAGCAGGGCCCTTTCCTACATTATTTTTTTTTGCTGCTGCTGCCTTTTTAACGACTGTTGCGCTTGGCTGGTCCTCATCAGAGCTGTCGTCTGATGAGCTCGAAGGAGCCGCAGGGGCAGGTGCCTTCTTCTTCAGAGCTGCACCAGCCGCCTTTGCAGGTACGGCCTTCTTCGGCTGCACTTCTTCTTCGCTTGAAGACAGAGACGAGTCGTCACTCGCCACAGGCTGCGCCACCTTTGCTTTCTGCAAACAAACGCCCACAAACCGCTGCCTTCAGCTCAGACTACGACTGGCGGGGCAGGAGGGAGAATCTGAATATCTCGCGGGGCGCGTTTTCGATATACGCGGGTTTCTTTGTACAACGGAAAATAAGTATAAATACACCCCAGAGTGGGAGTCATTTCGTTTCAACACGCACGACTCTCCCACAGCACCCCACACGGCGCTGAAGTCACCGCGCTGGGGCATCGGGATCTGGCGTGATCATCAAGACGGCCAAAGGTGCAAACAGGCGAAAGAAAAAATATATAAAAATCCAGAATAACTTACTGCCATTGTGAACGCCGAACTCCAATAGTAAGAAGATCTCGTAGTGTGGGGCGGGGCGCCTGCAGCAGGTGCCCGAGCAGGCGCTAGGTTTCCGCAAACAAATGCCAAAAAGAAGCAGCTGGCCCCTTATTCAAAAAAAACGCAAAAGGCACAGCAGCAAACAGAAAAGAAGTACAGTCTGCTGTATAGAAACACTTTAGGGATCTCAGCACGCCCCCACGGTAGCCTTTGCTGTGCTGCTGCAGCCTGTGTGGCCCCAGGGCCCCAACAGCTGCAGCAGGCGCGTTCTGCTCCCTCTAGAGTACATGTGTGTTGTATAAGGCGGCGCCAGAGTAGCCGATAAATGGGACGCTTATACAACTAGGCGTTTTAAAATTATATTTAAACTCTGTTTAACGTCTTCTGACCCTTTGAAGCTCAAAGCAGAGAGGGGCGTGGGGCCTTCCACCCGCGGCGAAGCAATAGCGCAAGACTCCTCGAGCCGCGGTCGAGGTGTACGTACACTCCACCGATACTGCAGCGCGACAGGATTATTTGTGCTGCTTTATTGCGTTTCTTCTCTTAAATTCAGTCATTATTTTTTGATTTTTATTGGGGAAAAGGTGGAAAGCAGAGGGTCGGGGGCCGTTTCCCGGGGAGGCATGGTCCGACCGCGTGGCCTGTGGCGTCACTGCGTCGTTGATTTGTAATCTTTTTCAAACTCAGATGAGGTTGTTTAAGGCATATTTCTCGCCTGCGGCCATTATAGGCCTTTTATGTGGTGTATGGACGCTCCAAGCAGCCAAAGATGCGGCAGAGGCGGCCAGGCTAGCGGCCACCAAGGCAGCTCGAGATGAAGCAGCAGCTAAGCTCGAGAAAGCTAAGTCTCCTGAGGAGCTACAGAAGGAAAAAGAAAAGCTGGAGCAGCTTAAGCTCGATATTAAGAACCTGCTAAGGGAGAGCAAAGAGTACAAGCAGCACCAAAGTGAGCTAAGGCCAGACCAATGGTGGCGATGGTCTCCATACATCGCAACAGGCAGCACGGCAGATGCCGCTCACACTGCTTTTCTTCTGCACTCAGCATCCATACTGCCCGCATGAGTAGGGGGAGGGGTGGCTGCTGCTGGCCTCTATGTTTCGCTGTCGTACTGTCTGCTGGGATGGATCCCTGTCTATTGGGGCGGCGTGCACTGCCGTTATTCTCGCTACCCTTCCAGTGCAGCTGTTTGATGCGTTTTTGTCTACTCATTTGTCTGTTCATTTGTGTGTTTGTCGCATGCGTAGTTAAAAAGAAACAGGAGGAGGAGGTCGCCGGCTACACACCGCAGGAGCTCGAGGAGACAGACTTGTGTACGTGAACACGCCCAACACGCCTTCTGCCTTTCTGTTTTGTGTAACTCATGAGCTTATGTTTGCCCTAGTGTTTGTCTTTGAGCACTGAGGGGTTGTTCCTACCAAAGCCAATAGAGTTTAGTTTCTATTCATCAGTATTGATCGATGCAGTTCAGCTTTCTGGTGCGTGCGTGCGCCTTCCCCTGTTTTTTTCTTCATTGTATGCATCATGCTTGCATATTGTGTGTGAAATGTGGAGGAGCTTCGTTTGTACTGCTGTTGGGTTTCCTCTATGCATGCGGTGCGCAGGGAAAGATGAATATGAGAAGTTTATGCGTGCGGAGCGGCACAAGGAGTGGTGGGAGCGGGTAGGCGTCGTGGGGGGCATCGGAGGGGCTGTGGCCGGCGGCCTCGCAGGGTTTGGAAAGGCTCATGAGAACGCAGGAGGAGTCGCAGAGAACCCTGCAGCAGCGCGGCTGGTGCGTGGTGCAGGGACGGTTGCACTCGTGGGCGGTGCTGCAGCGTTGCTGGCATGGCTGATGAGGAGACAGAGCAAGAAAAAACAAAAGCTTGCAAATGCTAGACTCACCCGCATGCAGTTTGAAGCCAGAACGGGGCTCAAACCCTCCGATCAAAACGTGCTGGGACCCGATGAAAGGGATATTTTAAACCCACCGAAAAAGAAAAACAAAAAGAAAGACGACGACGAGTGACGGGCGAAATTTGCAAAGAACGAAGCGAGACACGCATCAGAGCGCTCCACGGCCCCTGCGCGGGTGCTGAGGCAGCGCTGCAACAGCAGCAGCAGCAACAGCATGAGAAATGCAGCAGCAGGGGTGATGTAGCAGCAGGAACGACCAGAACACCGATGCGTGAAAGAGGCGAGGGTTTCATCGGGGCGTGCTGATGCTCTTGTTTGGGAGGAAGCTTGGGATACGGGCGGTGGATTGATTGTTTGGTTTCTCTGCTGCTGCAGTTCGACTCCCTAGTGTTGAACTGCGACAATGCTTGCAGAAACACTTGTTTGTTCGTATATGAAAACACTCAAATAAGCGAAGACGAGTACCGCGCCACCAGAAACAAGTGGGCGGGATGGCGCTTCGCTTTATGCGTGGGCGCAACGCTCTACAGATGCAGTTAAACAATAAAGCGAGAAGTATTTTTAAACACGCAAGAAGGTGGGGCAGGCATGCCTCTAGTGTACGCATGTTTTGTATACACCCGAAGTGTACGGGCGTGTACTGTTGGTGAATGGCCGAGGCATCAGCAACAGAAACGCCGAGGCTTTTTATGTATTATTACTGACTGCTTCCCTCGTTTGAAATCAAAGTGTCGGGGCAGTTTTTAACTTGTTTCCGAGCAAGCGTAGACAGATTAGGCAGAGGTACAGCCAGCAGGCTAAAGAGACACTTGGGATACTTGGTAGATACAAACCAGAGGGCAAGGGGGGGGCATACACATATAGAGGCACAGACGTCTCTCTCACTATCTCTCCCTATCTCCTCTATATATAGTATATATATATATATATATATATATATATATATATATATAATACTAGAGAATGCCGATGCAAAGGCAAAACAACAAACTTGAGGATGCGGCGCATCCTCAAGTTTGTTTTCTGGTTGTCGCTGTGCCCGCAAACGCAATAATGACTATCGTCCCTCCTACTGGGAGGAGTCCACCTCTATATTGGGGTGCGTTGTGGCACCTGATTTGTTTTACTGTAGCACTATGTAACTTCGTCCCCCAGGACTCCTTCTGCGCTAGCGGCCGCTACGTAGGCCCGTCGCTGCACAGCTAGCTGGCTAGCCGTAGATGGCTCGGTCCAGCTATCCTGCTGCAGCTAGCAAAGGACTCATCGGGGTCATGAGCCTGAGGTGTATACACTTCTAACGTTATGTGCCATCTTACAGCTACGGCGTAACGGCGGTGTGTATACACACTAGCACCACTCAAGGGGCTACACGTCCCATAAAGATAAAGAATAATGCCAAAATAAACAGGAAAAAGCAAGAAAATACAAAAAGAGCCAGGGGAACTTGAAGCGACTCTATTTCTTCGCCTGCGGCTGCAGGCGAAGATATATGAGGCGTTACGTGTTTTGTTCAGTGATCGTCCCGCGATGCCGAGCGACAAGCGGTGTTGAATCCTAAAGAAACTTCGAAGAAGAGAAATAAAAAAAACAAAGAAGTGTACGATTTAGAACGAGCAAGCAAGGGTAGACGCACATACTATAAGGGCGGTTGCTCGTGGGTTTTGTGTGCGTGTTTGTCTGCGGAGAGGGCGCAGCGGTGGGTGCGCGACCTCTAGGTGAGGGGAGTACAGAGCAAATTAATGAAATAGAAAATTTTTAATAATTAAACGTAAGTACCAACTTTACCTTCAGGTGTATATATGCTGCGGCACAGGTTGCTCGCCACTGCTCGGTGTGCATGGGGTCCTGGTGGGGCTGGTAGGCCTCGGCAAGAGCTGTCTGTGCGTTTTTACGGCAGCAAAACAAAAATAATATAATTAATTAGCTTTGTTTCGTTCATTTTGTTGCATTAGCTCTTTTCTGCTCGTTCTTATGCCTGTCTGCGCACCCCACCGCTCCCCCCCTGAACCCTCCCGTCTGCCTCGCGCGTCTTTCGTTCCTTCTTTCTTCTTTTGAACCCTTTTCTTTGCCTTCACCTCAGTTTTTTAATTCTGCATGCGCAGGTGCCCCACCTCCTCAGTCCCGCTGTCACCACCCACGGCTGCCTTGCCAGGAGCAGCTCCAGCCACTCAACAGTTGTAGCATCGGCTGCAGCAAGAACCGTAGTTGCAGCGAGATAAACAGGAGCAGACGCTGCAGCGAGAAAGGTTGCAGCGGCAGCAGCAAGACCGGGTGACATCAGCAGCAGTAGCAGGAGCGGCGCAGCCGTTTCTATTGGCACACCGTGCAACAGCTGTGTGTGCAGACCCCACACTATCGGGTTTCGGCTTCATTTATCTGAGGGATCCTAATTATATCGTATGTATAGCCCCCCCGTTGCTGCACATTTCCTCCTTCGTTTGCCCCCAAAGTCCTATCGCAGCCTAGCTAGTCTGCGGCTCCTTCCTCTCAGCTGTATATTGGTCTCGGTCTATCCGCATCTGTATACGCATATATATTTGTATATATTCATGTATGTGTATATGTGCAGTGCATGAAATATTTATACTACATTAGGAGTACAAACGGACATAGTGTCTGCAAGTCTGCGGCTAAACTCCTCACCACGTGCATGCTTGTGTGGGCGTTTCTTCCTTTCCTGTAGGGGGAGTTTCTACGGGTCCTATTACCCCTTTATTTAACTTGTTCAGAGTTTTCGTACTTTTGTTTTTTTTGTGTTCAGAGACCCCCGCTGAGATGGGGTCGGCGATCTCTTCTGCTAAGGATGTCCAGTATTCTGTCGTTGTGCCCAGCGCAGAAGCCAAGGGTACGCATGCCATATTTGGTTTGCTTGCTGCTATATTTTTTTCCTGAGTTCCTTTTCCTCTCTATTTTTTTGTGTTTGTTTCCCGCTATGCGTCTCTCTCTCCCGTCTGTTTTGCTTGTACACTTTGTCTGTCTTGTTCATTAGACACCTTGCTCTTTGTTCAACCTGCTGCCTTTCTCAATTGGTAGATTATCGCCTGCGCCGAATTAGCCGCCCTTGTTTCTTTCTCTATTCTTATTGCTCCCCTCCATGCACTCTTTTGTTTTTTACTGCTGCTGCGCTATGCATGCATGCATGCGCGCTGTTGTTCGGTCTGTGTCGTGGTTTTGTTGTTGCTGCTTTGTCATACGCTCATGTATGCGTCTTGCAACTGGACACGACTGTGCATCATGCTGTTGCTGCTGCATCTGATGCGGGCTGTACGTACAGATGATCGCACGCTGCCACGGCGCCATTATTCTACCTTGGATCGCCTTGCCGACAACTTTTCAACAAACCCTGTTAAAAATGCGTGAGAAACACATTTGCAGCATGCTGGGCTGTACATGCAGCACCAGAAGCAGCAACAATATCCACAGCAGGAGCAGCAGTATCAACAGCATCTACAGCAGCAGCAGCAGCCAGTTGACGGGGCCGTGTGAATTGCAGTGAAACTCCATTTAATTGCATTCGTGTGTCGGTCGGCTATTCGTACGCAAAGGCTACGAGCGGCTGTGTATCTGCAGCCCCCACAATCGCATGAGTTTTCTGTGCATTCTGGGGTGCGGGTACATTTGAATTGGCTTACAGCAGCTGAGGTGTCTGTACACCTGAGGTGCGTGTGCAGGTGGGAGTTGTTTCAAATGGGGGTGGGAAGGTCGGCTGAAGGCCCTTGCCTCGGCACGCGAGTAGTTACGCCCGACGGTCGCAAGGGGGATTATGTGTGGAAGACGTACAGAGAAGTAAGTACTTATACAAAAAAAAACGTTAATAAATATACATATCAATTCCATTGGAATTAATATGTGCTTACCTCCGTTTGCTTTGTCTAATCGTGCCGCTGTTCACCTCGTCGCCGGCTCAGCCTGCTCTGCGCTCTACTTGCTAGCATTCGTCTCATCTGGCTTGTCTCTCCTGCGGTGGAGTGCGCATAAGGCCTCTTCTGTCTTTGTTATTCTTCGTTTGTCTCCTGGCGGTTCCATCCATAGCCATTCATCTGCCCTATCTGTCTTGCGATTCCGTTGAATGTGTCATTTCTCTCCCATGCGCACTTCCCCCTTTTCGGGGTCTCTCATTTTGTCAAGTCGTTGTTCTTAAGGAGCAGCATAAGGTACTGCCCCTTCTTTCTGTCTCCGTTCCTTTTGCAGTTGTCTCGACCTGCTTTGTCATGCGTTCCGTCTGCTTTTGTGCCTCTGTCTGTCTTCTTTCTCGCCTTTACACATCGATATGCATGTTGCGTGCACTATCGTTTTTCTCTATCGTTCTCTCCGGCCGTTTTGTCTTCTTGCACGTCTGCTCTTCACCTGAGGTGTACGTACACTTTGAGTGCGCCTACAGGTGGAGCGTCTGGCGCTAGAAGCGGGAAGCGGCCTTTTGAATGGAGACTTCGTCCCTCTACGCCGCTTTGAGGAGCCGGACGGGAAGTCAATTTCGATGAGATGTATAGGCATCTTCGCGAGAAACAGGGAGGAATGGGTTATCACAGAGCATGCATGTCGGTCTTCAGCAGTTAGCGTAAAAGCCTCTCGAAGCCCTAAACCCTGCTGCATTAAATTGCTCTTTCCTGATCGAAAGGAGCGGCTGCCACTTCATACGCAAGATCGTGCATTTTTAGCGCGTGCATGTTATATATATATATATATATATATATATATATATATATATATATATATATATATATATATATATATATATATGGGCGTATGTGTGAGCAGCCAATGCGTACGGCGTGACGGTGGTGCCGTTGTATGATACCTTGGGGCCCCATAGCACTCGCTTTATCTTGGGGGAGACGCAGATGAAGACAGTTGTTGCTGACGGGGATTGCCTGGGGAAGCTACTTGATGCCTTAGAACAGAAGCAGCAGCACGGGGAGGGGCAGAAGCAACAAGAGCAGCAGCAGGACGAACAGCAGAAGGAACGGGAGGAGCCGCAGCACGATATTGTTTTGGAGTGCGCAATCACGCTAGACAAAGTTACAGATGAACACAGAGAAAGAGCGAAAGCGCTAAACCTCCGTATCCTGTCCTGGGAAGACCTCCTTGAGCTCGTATGCCAAACCCTAAGCCTTTAACCCCAATAGGGAACATAGAACAGCAGTGAAAGAAGAGACCAGAGTCATATCTGTCCGCTGTAAAAGCTCTACATCGTTGAATTCCAGCATATGTGTTCATCCCCAGTTAGCTCCATACTGATGTAACTTGCGGTTTGGGGTTTAGGGCTTAGGGTCTACGTTCTGCGACTTCTGCGTTACTTCAGGGGAGAGCCAACATGGTGCCTCTCTCTGACGAATTGCAGCCGACGCTGGAGTCCCTCCACACTATTTGCTACACCTCAGGCAAGTGAACCCCACGGTTAGCACCCGCGCTCGCTCGCTGGGTAGTTAGGTGGCTCGCTGGCCTCATGTGTACGCCGACCTCGCCAACGAGCTAGGTAACCAGCTTGCTAGCTAGCGGGTTCGGCGGCTACCTAGATAAATCGATGGATGGAGAGCCCGCGATATAGATGTTTAGCAAGATAAGCAAATGCATACGGACAGCTAACTGGTTGTCTCTGTTTCCGACAGATCGTCTTGCTCCCCGCCCCCCACCACGGCCTTTCGTGGGCCTCGGGTACCGCCGACCCCTGGTGTAGGGTTTAGCGTTTAGGGTTTAGGGTCATTATGCGTTGCGCAGGAACGACTGGCAGCCCGAAAGGTGTGATGATGTCTCACGGGAATTTCGTGGCGGCTGTCGCTACAGCTGTGGAAGGCCGTGAGTTTTGTTTTGCTCGCTTCGTTTCCTCTTTCCACTATCCGCCTATCTCTGTTTTAATGCTTGTCTTTGTTCATTTGGTGTGTCACGCTGGCCCCGTATCTCGGCTCTTTAGCTCTCTGTTTTCTTCTCTTCTTGTTGGGAGTTCCGATGTTAAGTTGCCCCTTGCTTGGCATGCTGTTTCCATTCTCCCCTTTCCGTTCACGCGTTTAACTCCCCCGTTTCCTGCCTCTCGAATTTGTTTTCATTTGCTTATTCCACTCCGTTGGTTGTTAGTACGATACGCGCAGCAAACAGGGACACTCAAACTTGGTTGGTTGTGTGTGTGAATTGCGTGTGTTTCTGTTATTTCTGTGCACACTCATTTCGTTTTTCTGAGCCCTTTGCGACTATTCTGATTGTGTTGATGCGCTGGCTTCGTGATCCGCCTTCCTCGTTGCTGTTTTACCTGTCCTCTGGCCGACTCCATGGATGATCGTCCATGTTGTTATCCCTTCAGTTTGTTTGTTTCATATATGGTATTTAGTTCATTAGCATGTGTATTTACGCTCTTGTTTGCTGTGTATGTGCAGCTCTTTCGGAGTTTGGCCTCCATTTGGACTCTTCCGACTGCCTCATTTCTTATTTGCCTTTGGCCCACGTCTACGAGCGCTTCTGTGAGAATCTCTTCTTCAGCTACGGTGGCAGAGTTGGCTTCTATTCGGGAGTAAGCTTCAGGGAGTATGTAGTGCATAGGAGTTTGCAAATGATGAGTGTTTATAGATATATGCATGCACATGTGTACATCCCGCTTCTTCAGATGCAAGCTATACGTGGGCGAGACTTAATATTGTAAAAGTATATGCATCGCACTATGCACATAGTCGGAGTATGCTCATATGTATTCCTACGGTTGTCTGTTTATTTCTGTTATATTGGGTCGAGCAACTGCAGCGTTGCGTCGGTATTTTCATACCGACTAGGATGGCTATGCAGTATCCTACAGCTACGCTTGTATTTAGGTTAACTGTATGATTATACATACATATAAATACATACTGTTGACTTCCATTGAAGCATGCGTATGCTTGGGTGTTGCGACGATTATGTGCAGGACACACACAAACTGCTCGATGACGTGCAGACGTTAAAGCCGACGGTCTTTTGTAGGTAAGAGGCGGGGACGCGAAGGGTGTTCGTTCGTTTGTACAATTTGAACATGAACTTGGGCTAGGTTTCACTACTTTAGGAGCAGGAAAACCATAAATTTATTTCTTCCGTTCTGTCTCTTGTGGCTGTGAAATCTAAAAATAGTATTCTGCATAACTAGACGTGAGTTCAGGATAGGCTGCATGTAGCTTGTTTGTCAATATGAAGTCACGAAAGTATCAGGCGCTGCTTTTGCTGGCTTTGCGTGTTGCCATTGCAGTGTTCCCCGTCTATTCCAGCGCATAGAGGAAAGAGTGACGAACAGTCTTCAGGGCAAATCTTTCTTGGCTCGTTCGCTCTTTCAGCAGGGTGAGAATATGACACCACTCCTGTTGCCCCGCGTAACGCCACACATTACCGATCCTCTCCTGCGGACTTGTTGGACTGCGGTGTAGTGTGCGTACGGCTGACTGTAACAGAGTCGGCTTTACTTCGTTTGTTGCTGCATGCGACCAGTTCACACGGCGCAAACACCCCACATCCAACCAAACCACTATGCGGCCCTACTATGCTCAAGTCCTTGGCTTTGCAACGCTGCTTGTTTTGCTTTTTTGTATCGTTATATCCGTTTGCTTGCTCTTCGTTTTCGACGGCTTAGCTGGGCTTTCTGTCCTTGCGGGTCGCCTCATACGACATCGTCGCTCTTGTCTGGCTTCCTGAATTTTTCTTTTGTTTGCCTTCTACATGCGTTCGACCCGGTTTAACTTGGACTGAACTATCGCTTAGTTGAGGCCTGCTCCTTTTCTTTGTTCAGCGTTGGCGGCAAAAATTCGACGCCTGCGCAGTTCAGGGGTTCCGCAGCATCCTGTGTGGGACAAAGTAAGGCGGTGCATCAATGTCTGTCCTGTTTGTTTTGCTGGTTTGTTTACCAGCTAGACTGCATGTACCTGCATTGAGTTGTGTTTTGGTTTGGTCATTTATCTGTCCCATTAGGCCTGTTTGCTGCGATTGTCTTGCTTCGTTTTGCTGTATTCACTCGTTTTTTTTTGTGCTGTTTGCCTTGTCATTTGCCGTGCTCTGCTTGTTCAGTGACATTTGCTCTGTTTGGTGTCGATAGTCTGCATGCAGTGCCCTTAACTGCATATGACCGCCTAACGCAGGAGGTAGCTTCCTTGCACATGCTTGGCCTTTTGTATTCTTAAACAGTTTGTCTGTATTCTGCCTGATTCGTATGTTTCGGGTAGCCTTCAGGGTTACGTGGCAATGTTTTACATTCAGGGCTTATGGTTTGTTAATTGCAGGTTGTCTTCGACAAATTTAAAAATCTTATGGGAGGCCGCGTGCGCATTATGTTAACGGGGTCTGCTCCTCTCGATCCCCAGACCTTGGAACGCATGCGCGCCTTTTTCTGCTGTTGGATTGTTGAGGTCAGTGCTTCTATATGCATCTCTCTGTTTTTCTTGCTATGTCCTGCATTTGAGTGAATGGGAAAAAACAAAGGATGCGAAGCAGCCGAGCATCCCAAGATCTATTTGTTCGAACAACTCCTGGATTTCCGTGGACTCTGTTGAGTGTACGGTCTTGCTTATACTGTAGCAGCTATTGTTAGCGAACAACATGCAACTGCGGTACTAATCAGGACAGTAATGAGTCTTTAAGGGGTAGTTCGTAGCGGTGTCCGTGTTTGTGCTGTTAGGCGGCTGATCAGTGCATGGGTATTGTGTCTATCACAATTTACATGGTACCCGCTGATGACTTGCGAACGCACACTTGCTCGCATTTGTACGGCTTTAGAGTGCTGCTGGGTTTGAGGGTTGTTTGCCATTTCTGCTTACCCAGCTAGAGGCTCTCCTTATTGGTGTTGCGATGTTGAATTGATCTTGCATTTTAGGGTTACGGCATGACGGAGACGATGGGCGCTTCCTTTCTTACGTGGAATGTATACGACAACAACCCGGGACAAGTTGGGGGGGTGTTGCCGTCTTTAGAGTTTTGCCTGCTGGATGTAAGCGAGACCATGAACAAATACTCGATCCGCGATTCGATCCCCAAGGGAGAACTATGCGTGAGAGGCTCTACTGTCTTCGCGGGGTACTTCCGAAATAAAAAGGAGACAGAAAATGCCATTGACAAAGACGGCTGGCTTCATACAGGAGACATTGCTGCGTTGTTGCCCAATGGAGGTGTGCAAATCATAGACAGAAAGAAGAATATATTTAAGCTCGCGCAGGTTCGTCTTCATTTGTCTGACGCTCCATATCGCCACTTCGTCCTACTCTACCTATGTGCTGTTCACGGAGACGACAAGAACAAAAAATATATCGCGTAGATCGTCGTTGTGTGATACTGAGTTTCTGTTTGCCATTCCTTCATTTATAGTGCATAGATTTGATGCCTCCCTAGGTGACCAAAGAAGCAATTGATGTCACATCGGCAGACGTAGTTGGCTGTCATCAGCTTACCTGTTGCGCGGGTGTCATTTTCTTCCATTTGCATAAATTGTTAATGACTAGTTTTCGTTGCATCCGCGATACGTGCCTTTTGATTTCTACTCGTGTTGAAACTGGAACGGAAGTACGAGGGAGACGCAGCATATCTGCTTTGGTTTCAGTGCATCTGTGCCAATTTACAGTTGAAGATATGCCAACGTTTTGCGTTGTTTTTACTTCATTCTGCAGGGCGAATACGTCGCACCTGAGAAAATCGAGGCGGTGTACATGCACAGCCGATTTGTTTCGCAGTGCTTTGTTTTCGGGTTTTCATCGGAGGTACGTTCATCGTACTGAATAGGTGAATTCGCCATATTTCAATCAAATATTACAAATAATAGACCTATCGAGCCAAGCATGTACATACGGTGTATGCTGATTAAGGTTGATGTGCAGTCGTGTCAGTGTAGAGACGCAAGAGCTTAGCTTTTTGGTTAGATCTGCATTCACATAATGTTGCTGTTAGTTGTTAATGCATACTTCTCCTCTCTGTTGAAGCGTCGGCTATATGGTGTCAAATTGGGTGAATCAGTTACAATGTGTAGTTTGTCTGTGCCCGTGAAAAGTTTGGGTTTAGCTTGCCAGTGTGTGTGCCTGTCTTTCGTCTTCCGTCTGTCCACTGTGCCTATATCTGTAGTGGTTGCTTGATTGTTTTTCGTTTTCCCGCTGTTTTTCCCTCTATGTTTAACAGACATCGCTGGTGGCTGTGGTGGTGGCCGACCCCGACCAGACACTACAGTGGCTGCGGGAGACGCGGGGCACTGCAACAGCATCGAGCCGTACTCTCGCGGAGTGGCTGGAGGATCCGGNGGGAGACGCGGGGCACTGCAACAGCATCGAGCCGTACTCTCGCGGAGTGGCTGGAGGATCCGGATGTGCAGCGGGCCATACAAGAAGACATGCAACAGGTGGCCAAGAAGCAGGGCTTGAAGGGCTTCGAACTAGCACGAAAGGTTTACTTCCGTACTGAACAATTTACCGTGGAGAGCGGCCTCCTGACGCCCACCTTCAAACTTAAACGACACTACGCACAAGAGGTGAGCCGAGGCGCACCGCCCTGGCGAACACTGCCGATGTGGAAATGCACAGCAGACAAAGCTAAAACTGCACAACTGAATCGCGCACTGGCCAGCGATGCATTGCTTGCAAGCCGCGCTAGCCCAGCTTCACCAAGTCTCGTCCGTGTCCACAAAGCTGTTCAGCTTTCTCTCTGTGGGGTGTGTTGTTTGCTCACAGGTGTTTGCTGAACAGATAAAAGCAATGTATGACAAAATACATAAAGAGCAGCAGGGCGCTTGATTGGTCTCGTCCCTCTGTGGGCTGTAGAGACAAACGGAGACCCAAGGCACATGCAACGTGAAAAGACAGTTGAACCTGTTACAAGGCGTTTCCGTTGTGCATATTTGTCTCGTTTGGTCTTCTCCGGCGGTCTTCATCTCGCCTGAACAGTTTGTTGCAGCGACGTTGCATGTATACGTATATATCTATGTGTGTATATATATGTATGTATACATGATGCATATATGAGCAAATATACAATATCAGCGTTTACGCCCATGTACATGACCGTACACGCATCTGCGGATGCGCTTATATTTACATACATGCATGTACAAGAGGTTGCTAACTATACGTAAATGCATGTATACATCTTTAAATTTGCAATCGGGTTTGGAGCCATCCCTTCAGCCGCAGCTCCCGCTCAATCCTTTCCGGACGGCAACTTCACCAGCATGCGGCGGCAGCAGCATGCGTCAACACCACCCTGAAGGATCAAGAGCATACGGGAGCATCAGCAGGAAGCAGCAGAGCAGCAGCATGTTGCAGCAGCGCCCTGCAGGGGCAGCATCCTGGTGCAGCAGCAGTGGCATGCAGTAGTTGTGTGTTGAGGCTGGCCTCGCAGCAGCAAGAGCGCTGTGTAGGGGGAGGATTTAATTGCCCCGCGCTGCATTGGGGCAGCATATGACGGCCAGAAGTGACTAGGGTTCATTTCCGGCGTACACATCATTAAATGAGATATTTTTCTATTGTCTGCGGAAATACAGACGGACAAGCCGAAAGACAAGGGCAACATTCAGGCAGCCGCGGGTCCCCGGCGTCCTCTGTTGTTCGTGCCGCCGTTGCTGTGATTTGTCAAGTGTGGTGTGGCTGTCCGTCCGTACACTCCGGCGCAGGTCGGTATAAAGGCACAAACAGCTATCAGGGCAACTGATAAGCCAGCAACCAAACGTCTTCTCTTCCCCCTTTTTAACACTCCAAGGGGACGAACCCTTTAGCGCCTCCCTTGCGTAGAGGGAGGCATAGGCATAGCAAACGAGTGGGTAAGATGGGACACCGATACGGGAAACCTTTATATATTTGTTCAAGGGGCACGAGCAGTCGTTGTACCTGCTTCTTTTTGCCTCAAAAGGGTTTACTTGTAAAGATTCATCATATCCAATTTTGGAACGTCAACGAATGCTTGACGCAAGCTAGGCTAAAGGCATGCTATGCATGCTATGTTTAATGAGCCGTTTTCCAAAGGTGAACATTAGCTGCTTGTTTCAAAGGCACAGATGTCACCTGCATTGAATCACAAGCGACGGTCATTATGCTCCACAACTGGTCCCTGTTGGACAGATGTATTATTTACCCCTTTAGCTTGCTGGCATGCTTAGTCAGTTGACGCTGCATGCAGAATGTGCCTTAAATGCACATAGAGCTTATGACAGATTTACAGGTATACTCCAGTTGCCTACAATCAGCTGCAAGTTTAGAGTTTACGGTTATGCATGCAGTTAATGGACATACCGGCATGATTGTTCAGTGCACGCCAGCTGAGACTCCATTGATGTATATTTCAAGCATTGACTGAACATCAGCTGAACGTTCAGTATACGCGTGTCTTCACTTGCAAGCGTTCGTGTGTTACGTACATTAGCTTCACGGCAATGCCACGGGACGACGGAGAATCTTTTGGCCAAGTGGTCAGGGGGATCGACCGCCGAAAGAAGCAAGAGGAGGCAAAACGTATAGGTAGATAAAGAGAGGCCTGGCGCCCCTCCATGCGGATTTGCCATTGCTGTTTTCCAGTCGCTTGCTCTACCTTTACTCCTTCTTGTCCCGCTCTTCACTGTTGTCTTGATCTGCCTGCTCTTCCCTAACATGACTTTCCACCAGTTATCTCCCCTTCGCCTTTTCCGCTCCGCTAGTTTGAGACACTGTCTAAAAGCGGACCGTGCGCCCCACTCGCAGGGGGTGTGACGCACCCATCGGTGTTGTACTTCATGCTGGTATCGATCACCAAACCTCGAAGATGAAGGATTCCCAGAGGGCTTCTACCGTCGTCTCGTAACCAGTACCTCCCCCTCATGCACGGCGTCTCGTATAACGTGGTGTTCCTCATACTGCCACTGAGTAGAACGCTTGGCGAGGCTTTATAGGCTACTCAAGGCTGTGGATGCGCTAAGCATACCTTAAATAAAGATATTCTTAGTGCATCCACTAATATGCCGCAGACGTGCGAACAAAACTAATGCTTCTTCAAACTACTCCAAATAGATACTCTTTGAAGGGAGAAGTAGAAACTCTACTGATGCTTCACTAAAACATCCTAGCAGCATACAAAGCGGGCAACGACCACCTATATGAAGGCAAAGTAGTTCGTTTTCCCCCGCAAGCTGTCTGGTATGTGTGTATTGGTACAAAAATGTCCTGTCTATTGGAGGTGAAAACGCAGTCAGCTTCGGGCGTGGTCTCCAGTATCCTTCGAGTTTACCGGAGGCCTCTACAATTGGGCTGGAAGGCCATAAAACGTTCAGCATTGCGCAAGGACCGCGTTCCCTTTCAACCAAGCACGATATGACAAGAGAGAACTGTTTTTCGAGGGTGATTCCACTTCTCCTTGGTTGGCCTCATGGAATCCATGGGGCCTACCCACTCTGCACTGGAGGAACAGCAGGGCTGCGACCCCATACCTAAAGGGCTTATTATCGAACCCGACAAAAAAATACAACTCTTTAGCTCCTTTAGTGTCGCGCTCAGCTTACACCAGCATGCAGAAAGCGAAGAGAAGTGGTCGTGCCTGGGAGTAAACGGGAAGTGGAAGCTGTGCCACACGGCATTCTCGCGGCGTCTCATGGGCGTGTACCTTCGCCAAGATTAGCGACGGCTTCTGCCGGGCAATGTATTACGTAGAGCCACAGTGGACGGCACGTCGTGATAGCAGCGGCGGCTTGGCCTCCTCACGGCAGCAAGTGACAAGCATGCATAGCCAAACCCTAGCGGGTCTCGTTTCTGCGCCTGCCGGTGTGTGTGTGCTTGTGGTTGCCGGCTTCTCCAGTGCGGGAGATGTACCGGCGGCTCACTAAATGCATTAACAAACATCAAATAGCCCAGCCCAGTCTCCGTCCTGCACAAGCCGGAGGAAGGCTGGGGGGAAAGAGAATGATATGACTGAACTCGCCGACCGACCATCGCCTCGGATAGCGAGACAGAGAAGAACACGCAGGTCGACGTAGGTCCTCTCCCTACGGAAATACAACAGAGGCTGCGCCAATAACAAGCCTAGAAATCGTAGGGGTCATCCGGAGATGTTGCCGCTTTGCCCCAGGTCCTGAAAAGTAACGCAACGTGCCAGACATAAGCAGATACTGCCTCAAACAATCAGCCCAGGTCGTACCGTTCAAGCGGTGCAAGTAACATATTTGCCCTCGAGCGAAAGGGCTGGGTTCAGGAGTTGTAAAGGTCCAAAACGCGTATGGTGCAATCAACATTCAAACAGGAGAGGTAGACAGACCCCTGGAGGCGTTCATCATACGTAAATCCCTTGAAGAGGGCCTCTCCTTCCTCGTCTTCGGTTGGCTGGGTGTTGTGAGGAGAGTGAGAGCTGCATGCATTTGCGTGTGCGCATGCGTCCTCTGGGTGCCGAGCTGTCCCCTTGTGAGCTGTCGCAGCACAGGCGCCACCGGCTGCAAGATCTGCTGGTGCTGTACCTGTTGCTGCCCTACTGCTGCTGCTGCGACTGCTGTTCCCTGCAGAGTGCGGCATGGGTGTGCGAGACCGTTGCATTCTCGTGCTGTTGCCCCTGGAGATGGCGGTACCGAAAGCTGCGTCAGGCCCTTCACCGTCACCTGATAAAACGGGTTCTCGTTTAACATCCGCCGGAAAGTACTTGCTGTCCTCATGTGAATGGAGGCGGGGCTTGAAAGGTGGCTCTATTTTCTTCGCAAGAAGCAGGTCCCAATCTACAGATTCAAAAAAGGGATGCCTCTGCACGCAAAACAAACAAATCAGCCGAATTTGCGCAAAAGCAAACAAATTCAATGTTCATACACGAGATGAGTCGGACTTCGTTATAAAGTTGTCATTCGGAAGCGCATTTACCCATACTCCCATCATCTGATGTTCAGCGCGTTACTTCACTCCCTCTTTTCCACTCATTATCTGTTTCTCATCTGCTAATCTCTAGTGTACTGCTATCTTTTAATTTTATAAGTATAAACAGCATACCTTTATCTCCTCTGCGTCTAAGGGTCCAGCGCCCAATCGCTCGTTGGCATCACGGTGCAGAAGATTCTTCAGGAGGTCAACAGCTGCGGGGGACAAATCCGCAGGGAACTCCAGTCCCCCCCTGGACGCAACAGCAGCAGTAGCAGCAGAAAAACGCCACAAACTTGCACTCACGTCGGGAATCGCCAACTTTCACAGCATCGCATTACTGCACCCATGTAGCGCATACATACATATATATTACGTGCACGTGCGTACGGCGTTTGTGTGCCGTCAGCTCATGCTTTCGTACAAACAAGTTGTGCTTGTGCACTGTTCACTATTCTTCCAGCCACGCAACAATCAAGAGCGGTCTCTTTTCAGTGTATCTCAATTAATGTATAGGACATCAGGTAGAAAGACTAACAATAACAACAGTACCTAGTCCCTCCGTGGGCATGCAGAGGCGGAAAGGTCATTTGCGGCACGAATTGCGGCTGTCTACTGCTCCGGATGCATGCAACTCCATATTTGTGTGAGCACTCATACATGAGCATTCAGCGTGCATCTTGTTCATAATGGAGAAACGCAGTTAAGAATAAATTCGGAAATACGGACTCCAAAGCACAACTCACCAGAGAATGTTCGTGAAAAGGGCTTGGCGGTTCGCCGTGTAGAAAGGGGGCAGGCCTGTCAGCATTTCGTAGAGCAGGGCCCCGAGACTCCACCAATCCGCTGCTTTTCCATGCCCGACCTGACACAGGATCTCAGGGGCTATGTACTCTGGCGTCCCACACACGGACTGCAGCACAAGCAGCAGGAGCGGCAGCAAAGCAGCCATTCAGCAGCCTGCGTTGATCGCGTGAGCAGCCAGCAGCAACCATGAACAGGAAAGAGCAGTGGCTTCAAAGCACCACTGAAGAACAAACCCCTCTAGACCTGTTGCACAGACCCCGAGTAGCAAACACAGCAAAAACAACAGCAACAGCAACACTCGAAGCAGGACAAAGAGCGGCAGAAGCAGCTGCAGACAGCGGGCTGTTTACTCGGGCACTATTGTTGTCGGCGATGCCGCTCTTTGAGAGACCAAAGTCTGTTAGCCGGATATGGCCATCCATATCCAGCAACACATTTTCTGATTTGAGGCTGAATCCAGACAAAACGCGCAATGAGGGGAAGGAGGAACACGCCTTAAACAAGCACAACACGCTGGGCGCTGCCTTCGTGCTGCTGCAGCCGTGCAGCTGACACATATAATCCACTAAAAATAAGACCATGCGTCGCCCTGCGTGCGGTGCTAATTGCTCTTAAAGGCGGCCTAGAAGCCTGTAGGGCTCTTAGAAAAATGCAGCAAGGAGATGCTATGTCGTTCGTCGTAAGGTGGATGCATATGCAAGCAATAAAGCATATATGTGCGGGTTGGAGATGGGGCAGTCAGGAGCGTGTATGTGAGGTTGTTTTACTCTCTGTAGATCACGTTGTGTTTGTGAAGATGCTCCAACGCGAGCAGCAGCTCAGCCGCGTAGAAGCGAGAGCGCTCCTCAGTGAATTTCCCTTCTTTCTGCAAATGGAAAAACAACTCCCCCCCGGGACAGTACCTGCGACACATAATGCCCAAGACCATCCTAAATCTTCTATCGAACTACACGTTCGTACGTGAAATGCTTAAACGCGTCACTTCACTCCCAGCACACGCCCCTCATCATACAGCGCAGCTACAGCTTCAGCAGCAACAGCAGTGCAAGCCATGGATGTAGCTGCAGAGAAGGCTCTGCAGTTGCCCCCCGCGGCGTGAACGAGCAGATACTTGGCGACAAATCAACACGACTTCAGTTGTTCTAAGCGAGAGAGGGGTGGAGCGAGCAGCCTAGCGAACCGCCCTAAATCCTAGAACTAAGAAGAGCGCAGACATTTACGGCAGACAGAGTGACCAGTTCAAACAATCGGAGAAAGAAAGACGGACTCTAAAACAAAGTAAAGCTTCTTGGGTGTCTGAAATGCGAAGTGCATCTGCACAATAAAAGGATGAGATATCGCCTCCAGAACCGCCCGCTCCGTGCGCGTGTGCTGCACCTGTTAAACGCAACAGAAGCAGCGGTAGCAAAATTCCGATCACAACAGCAGCAGCAGGAGCAGCAAAAGCAGAAACAGCAACCAACGCTAAGATTTCAGAAGCCGCGTAGAGCCGAAGTGCATTCAAATATATCGTCATTTGCAGTCCCGCAAGTGAAGAAACATGAAAAGTGCAGGTTACGACAGTATCAATCTGCTACCTTAGGGGTCTCTATTCAGTGTCATAAGGGCCCCTATAAGCTACCTAGTGCAATGACCAAAACGCCTCACCTGGCTGCGACGCAGCAGCGATTCCTTCAGAAGAACCTTCAGCGCGTATAGCTGGCCGTCTTGCTCGAACCGGGCCAGCATAACTTTGCCTAAACGCAGCAGGAGGGGGTCCGATAGGGGGAATAAACAGAAGCATAGGCACACAGAACAACAAATACTCAGACGAACAAAACCCCCAGGTAACTAAATGCACAACTTAGGCGAAAACGAACCAATAAACGACAAACGAATGAGAGAGTCAACAGCAATGAATAAATGCGCAGATTCAAGGGCAAACAAAACAAGCCAGTAAAGCCACTGACAAATGCATGAGGATGCAAAAAAACGAACACTTAAGCTACACATAGGTAAGTAGACATGCACTCAGAACAATGCATAAGCAATATGCCCCTCTGTTTGGTTCAAGAGAGAAAAAAGGAGGGCTGATTGCCTGTCTAGAGAGAGAGGATGTAGACCAAGGAGGTGGAACGGATAAATTTTTGAGCTTTTCACAGAGACGACCGTGTTTACGCGTGCACGCATGCATGCGTGCTCCGTGTTGCGCGTTTCCGTGCAGCGTCTAGTGTATGAGTATATACGAACCATATGAGCCCTTGCCGATGACGTGCAGCAGCACAAAGTCGCCAGGGCCAACTTTCTTTGCCTCTAGCGGGGCTAGATACGCCATGTTCTTAGTGTACGCATAACCCTCCTCGGGGAGCATCGGGCTGTTTGTGATGCTCCCGCTGCTGCTTCTGCTCTCGCGGCTCCTGCTGCTGCTGCGGCTGTTGTGGCTGCTGCTGTGACTCCTGTGGCGTGCGCCTGAGCTACTGCTGCAACCCCCACCCTTTCCTCCGTCCTGAGAAATTGCTGCGGCACAGTTTGTCGAATCCATGGCTGCTGAGTTGTTACTGGATAGCACCTGACGGCACCCCGCAGCAATATTACCAGAAGCTGCAGTAGCAGCAGTAGCAGTAGGGGCAGGAGGTGGAGTGCTCTTGGTTGCGCGTCTCCTGCAGGCCCGGGGAGGCGCTTCTCCTAGCTGCTGCGCGCTGGCAACAAGGTTCCGCTCCTCCTGCATCAACCGAGGCCGGCAGGGTAGCTCCCTTCCACTTCGATTGCCTGAGCTCCATGGGTGAGAGCGTCCATGCGCCTCCCACTGGCCCTGCTGCTGCCGCTGCGGCTGCTGCGGGGAGGAAGTAGAAGAAGCGCTGTGCACACTACCAGCGTAGCTGGACGCAGGAGCAGCAGTCATGCGACCGGCTGTACGGGTCATTCGAGTACCTGTGGGCTCGCAGACGGGAGCTGTTGCAAGTGCGTGCACCGGCCACGGGTAAACAGCGGCAGCAGCAGCAGCTGCTGCTGCTGCTGCCGCCGCCGCAGAGGACCCCGAGGCAGTTTGAGGCACGCAGTCTGCGGCTGCTGTTGACACTGGGAAGGCCGCCTGTTGCCACTGGCGCGGAAGGCCTCTGCGGGGGCCAGGAACGCTGCTGCAGTGGGGAGCCGAGGCAGTCTGGTGCTGCTGCTGCTGCTGGTGCTGCTGGTGGTGTTGCTGCTGTGGGCCGCGCCGTGGCGCCCGCTGGTGACTCTTGTTCACTCCAGCTGGCCTCTGAAGCCCCCAGTCGTGTCGCTGCTGCTGGACCAGGCCCAAATATCGCTGCTGCTGCTGCTGCAGCTGCTGTTGCTGCTGCTGCAGCTGCTGCAGAGGAAGGTACGTGTACGCAGGCACATCAACTGGAGCAGCCAGTGCGTAGGACATTCGTTGCCATTGCTGCCACTGCTGCTGCCAATGCTGCCACTGCTGCTGCTGCAGCTGCTGCTGCTGTAGGTGCTGCTGCTGCAGGTGTTGCTGCTGCAGCTGTTGGTGCTGCAGCTGCTGCTGCTGCAGCTGCTGCCACTGTTGCTGCTGCAGCTGCCACGACTGCCAGTACGAGTGCGACAAATGCTGCCACGATTGTTGCTGCTGCAGCGGTGCCTCGCGAAAAACAGCATATGGGGTGGGGCAGCCCATAGAGGCGCCAAGGGGAACGACGCCGTTCAGAGCCGAGGCAGGAGCTGTTGCTGCTGCGGCCGCTGCAGTGGCGGCTGCCGCTGCAACAGCAGCACCTGCGGCAGCAGAAGCAGCGCCAGCTGTCGAGCCGCCTTCTTGCTTGTCCCCGACACCCACCGCCGGGTACCTTGCTGCTTCCATGGGCCTCGGGCCGTCCGTGGCAGGCGCATGTGCTGCTGCTGCTACTGCTGCTGCTGCTGCCGCTGCTGCTGCTGCAGTTTCCGTCGCCCCTGTTGCTTCGTTTGCTGCTGATGCTGCTGCAGCGGGGAAGTCGACAGGGTCTGCTTCAGCAGCAATGATCTGCGTGCTGCAGGCATCGCCTGGTTGCAAAGGGCTGCTGCTGCTGCTTGCGCCGCTGCCTTCGGGGTGGGGGGCCCCAGCAAACGAGGACCTCGTGGGGACGCCCACCACTGAGAGGAACGGATACTCAGATGAAGAATACAAATAGTGAGGGGGAAGAGGAGCCAAGGGGGTAGGATGCTGCTGCATATGCTGCTGTACGCGCTGCTGCTGCTGTAGGTGCTGCTGCTGCTGCTGTACGTGCTGCTGCGGTGGCTGCTGTCCGCGCTGCTGCTGCGGCGGCGGCCCCTGTGCGTAAAAACACTGTTGCACCGGCGGAAGCGAGGCGGCGGCCGGTGGAGTTGTTGCTGTGGGGGCGGCCTCAAAGGTCAGGGGGGGCGCCCAGGGCTGCGGCGCGCCACTGTGAGGACCCTGCGGCGTCAGCCCCAACACGGGGAGGCAGAAGTGGGGGGCTCCAAGGAAGCCGCAGTGGGGTGGGGACGGCCTCAGTCTGGGCTGATGCGGGCCCCCTCCCCTCACATCTAGAGGGTACCCATGGTCCAGCCGCAAGCGTAGCGCATCAGAGGTAAGGCCGCCAAAAGGCAGCATTGTCCTGTACTCCTCCCGTGGCTGCCGCTCCATCCGGTCCCAGCAACGGTGCTGAAGCTGCTGCAGTGAATGTTGCAGTGAATGCTGCGTTGGATGTTGCAGAGAATGCTGTAGAGAACCAGGAACCCATTCGCGCACTGGCGATGCACCACCCGCTGCCGCTGCAGCAGCGGCTGCTGCGCCAGCTTCTGCTGCCGCTGCTGCTGCTGCCTCGCGACGGGCAGCCCTGGAGGAGCGACCCACAGGCCTTTCTGCTGCAGGGGAATCCGTTGCATGTGGACCCCAGGGAGGGAGAACGAGAGCTTGGTGCTGCTGCTGCTGCTGCTGCTGNTGCTGCTGCTGCTGCTGCTGCTGACGGGGTCGTCGCTGAGGGTTTGTTCTGTTTCGTGCTCTGTTTTGCTGCAGGAACTGCTGCTGCTGTTGCTGCGGCTGGTCCTGTTGATCCTGTTGGTGCCGCTGCTGAAGGAAGTTGCGATTTGCACGCCGGCTTGTGCGGGGCTGCTGGTGTTGTTGCTGTTGTTCGTCGGGTGGACAAGGTTGTTTCTGCAGCGATGGTACCGGTGTTTGTTGCTGCTGCTGTTGCGATGGTATTACATGCTGCTGCTGCTGCAGCAGCTCCCGTGTGTCTGCCCCCATAGCAAATGGGGGGCTGCTGTCATGCCTCACCTAAGGGCAACCCGGAGTCTGTCTTGCGGATGTGGTTGCTGTTGCTGGTGCTGCTGCTTGTGCTGATTCTGATTCTGCGCGGGGTGCTGCATGGGTTGCCTCGAGTGGGGACATGGGTAGAGTACGTTTAGGCTGCGGGAGGCCTCGTTGCCTAGTCCTCAGGCCTGTGAAGGCACCAAAGAGCCGCTGACCGCCGGGCGCGTGAATCAAGAAGATACGCATGAATTTGAAATGAAAGAAAATGACTTATCCGTGGTTTCAGCTGGCAAGAAAGGCGCAAAAAATGGGTGATCTGCCTCTCCTGCCTTGTGACCCTTCAGCGAGAAAGGGTCTGGGCTAGGCCCCTGCCCTCTGCGGGAGCAAACAGGAGCCCTACCAACCAAAAAATAAGAGGAGAGGACAAAAAGAATATAAAAAGAAAATTGCTTTAACAATTAAAACGGGCAGAATACAGACGACAACAGTGCCAGCCGCTTCTGTTCAGCCGCATGCAGAGCCCTCCAGATCTCCAAGGCAGTGGCAGTGCCTCGCTGAAGGCTTTTATAGAAACAATCGCACCATCCCCAGAGTCGAAATGTAAACAAATGAAGCACAAAGAAACCGAAACCAGCCGAGATGCCTGAGCCGGCACAAACTCGCGTGCTCTCAATCGTCCACAACTCCTTTTAAATCGAAATCATATATTTCAATCAGCAAGAAACGCATACACACACGACCTCCTCCTAAAACCCCTTCTTCCGCACAGACCTAACATATACACCCTGCGGCAAGGCTTGGAACTATTTGTAAGTTCTCAGCAGGAGCCCTCTCCCTCCCCTCAGGGATCCGGGCTTACTGCCTACGTTTTCTAGGGTTTAATGACCAACACTTCTGTCCCCCTGTAGTATTTCTTAAACTCCCTTAGAGCGAAGTAATAGCTGGTTTGGAAGTCAGACAAAAAACTACGGCCATTTTTAATTTTGAGGATCCTCTCCTCCGTGCATACCGCTCTTCATCGTGAGATTAGCCCACAGCCATCTAACGAAACATTGTAGTATGCTCTGCCTGGCGCTAGTACGTATTTGATACTGGTGTGCTGGCCGGCTTCTGAGGACCACGTAGGTGTGTAACAGTTGTCAAGTCCGTATGTGCATGCAGCAAGTGAGACTTTGACAAGCTTGCACGTGGTTGGGGGTTGCAGCAAGGAGTGCGGCGACACGCCGCAGGCTACCTTCTCTCCTTACTATCCCCAGGGGTTTGTACTGCAGTGTTCAGTATTCCTGGAGACTGGAGAGCAGTTCGTCTGCTTTCAAATCATTCTTATCCTAAGCGTGTTGACTCCCCTGCACCTCACGGCGATCCTAGGCTGAGACAGAGGACCCTCGTTGCAGTTCATAGCCCACCATGATTGAGAGTGCCATGCCCAGATGATTTTATGTGCAGCTCCTTGCAGTAGCGTTATCGGGAGGCAGAAACAGCGGCATCACAGGACGAGAACCTAACGGCCGCCTTCCCCCGTACAACTAACCCTGCCAATGCAAGAGCTTGCAAGTGAGATATAGGATATGCATGAATCTGAAATGGAAGACAATGAGTTGTCTGTGGTTTCATCTGGCATAAAATGTGCAAGAAAAAGTGTGATATGCCTGTCCTGCCTCGTGACCCTTCAGTGAGAGAGGGTCTGCGCTTGCTCCCTGCGGGAGCAAACAGGAACCCTACCAAATAAGACAACAGGACAAAAAGAATATAAAACGTAATCTGTTTAAACGAGTAAAACTGGCGGAATAAAGGCGAGAACGCTACTACCCGCTTCTCTTTGCATGCATGCCCTCCTAATTTACACGGCATCGGCAGCGCCTCCCTGAAGGCTTTTATAGAAACAATCGCACCATCCCGGACTCGGAAGGTAAACAAATGAAACGCAGAGAAAGNAAATGAAACGCAGAGAAAGCGAAACTAGCCAAGATGTATGAGTAGGAAAAAGCCCGCGCGTTCTCAATTGTTTGGAGGTCCTTTTATATTGAGGCCGTCTCTTCCAAGCAACAAAAATCATACACGCACGACCGCCTCCTAAAGCCCCTTCTTCCACGCAGATTCAACAAATGCATCCTGCGGCGGGGCTTGGAAACACTCGCAAGGTCTTTGGGGGAGCCCTCTGCGTCCCCTTGGGGTCCAGGGCATGCATACCGCTTTTAGGGTCGGATGACCAACACTTGAGCCCCTCTCTAGTATTTCTTAAGAGCTCCGAGGGCGAGTTAATTGCTCGTTCGGAAACCAGACAAACAACTAGGACTAAGTTTTATTCTTAGGTTCTTCTCCAATCGTGGGAGCAACGCACAGACATCTAAGGATATAGTGTTGTGGCCCTAACGGTCGTGCAGATGTTTTATACTGGCATGGGGGCGGGCTAAGGAGGGCCAACTAGGTGTGTAACAATTGTCGAGGGCATATTTGCATGCAGCTAGCGGGGCTTATTTATATTTACACGTCGGCAGGAGTTGCAGCAAAGAGTGCTGCAACTCATGATAGGCTACCTTCTCACTGCTCCCAGTGTTTTGTACTGCTGTGCTCAATATGCCGTGAGACTGGAGGGCAGTTCAGCTTGTTTCAAAGAGCTCTTATCCTCAGTGTTTTGACTCTATTGCACCTCACGGCGGTCCTCAGCTGAGACAGTGGACCCTTGTCAGACTTGGTAGCAGAACATGACTGAG